ATCAAAATATTTGATTTTATGTTAACAAAATACTAACACAACTTAGTTTTCTATCAAACAGGTTTCCTAAATGTATAGCCTGTGTTTCCTCATTTATTCCGACAAATTACCAAAAAAGTTAGTTTGATAAGCCAGCTACTCCATCCAATCCCTCATCCACTAAAGTTTCATGTTCCAGCCACAAAGCCAGAAGATGTAGTGCTGCATCTGAGCATCTCCTCTTAGAGAAGTGGGGTGGGAGGAACACCGGATTTCCATCGCATCCACCAGCACTGTAATGATCAGAAATCCTGAGCAACCTACTACAACTGCTTCTGAGGTGCATGTCAAGGTATGTTTAGTTGTACATGAGACATCTTCTCCTCAACCAGTACTAGTTTCATCCTTATCCAGGTTACTTAACCAGGACACTGCATGTTTTGCATCACTCTGGACTGTACTTAAAAAATGAAAAGCAAAACTCCTGTAGCCAGCTTTTCATTTGTCACAACCAAGTAAGTCATGAACAGGAACTGCAACTGTTTAGACATTCCTTGGTCAAGGGAAATTTATCTGTATTTCCAGTAAACTAGGAAAAAACCCAATCACTTATTTTGAGAAAGGTCACGTACATGAGAAGTTGCATCACTGTAGCAACGCCACTACATTTTCCCCTTCGAAGCCTGGCACTCCGCTGTGACCTGGCACAAAGGAAGTCAGATGGAGGGAGAGCCGCGCGAGCTGCGTCAGGCTGTGCACCGCAGGAGAATGCAGGTGCCAAGTGCACACAAAAAATAAAAAGGCTTTTGCCTTTCTAAAAATAAGAGCCTGCTAGACGAGAAGCACAGTTAGCCAGACTGCAAGGCACACTGTTTGTTTTTCATCATTATGGGCTCAGATAATGTTTCACTGATGGAGGAAATTAATTATCAACGTCTGGATATTTATAGCAAGAGGCAGAAGTATTGTTTATTTTCCCCAAGACACTTGATTTGCCCCGTTAGCAGGGCCAGTGAGCCCTCCCAGCAACTGCTTGGCTGGTCACAGCAAGAAAATAAATATCTGGTCTTAAAAGCAGTGAAGCTCCCTACAGCTTTAAAGTATAAATTGACCCAGGATGCTACGACACTGAATCCAAAACTAGACAATGCAAAATATTGCCAGACAAGATACAATAACTCGAAATTCTCCTAATTGCAAAGTATTATCTCGATACCATGCTCCATGCTTGAGGTTTACACATGGAAAAAGCTATAAAACATCACATTTTACACAGCTACTACAACTTCAGCAATATTCACATTCCTAAACACAGAAGACATCATCCAACACAGCCCTTCAGATCTCACTTCCTACACTGGCTTACTACACCCTCACCTTTAACCACACCTTCTCTCCCTCCAAACTGCTCCATTAGCATCCACTCCGTAGCATCCTCTGCTGAGCTCAGACCTCTTCCTCTAATTGGGAACAAAATACCCACCTGTAATTCCCTCTCTACTTTCTTCCAGAACCCGAAATTATTTCCCTCACTAAAAGACATCTCATTGTCTTTAACTGACTCTTAAGTACTTGGGATTTTTTCCCTACGTTACAGTATTTAGAATTTGTATGCGACTCTTTAACAAGGTACTACAAAGTTTAATATGTTATCAAAACAAAACATAATGGTGGCTACAGGCAGAACAATCTTATGCCTTGCACACATGCTTAAATTTCATATAATATGACAAACTATTAATAGAAGCAGTTTAATAAACTGTTTTTCTTTTAATAAACTGCTTTTCTTTGAGGCAACAAAATATTTACTACAATGCGTTTGTTTAAGCACATGCAATTCCAGCGCTGATGGTCTCAAGATGACTTTACCTGGAGAAGGAGGTATGAAGATGAAAGCAAACTGAAACATATTTTCCATCAGCCCTGAACACAAGAGAGAAACTTCCTTCATCCTATTTTAGTGGAGCTCAACAGGAAGCAGAAACTAATACTGAAATTTTCATGCTTTTCAAGATATTTCATGTCAAATAAACTGCTTTTCTTCCCCAACCTCTCCAAATATTAAGTGCCAAGAAATCCTTAGACAGTTTCCTTTCTTCCCTCAAGTCCCTAGATTTTTTTCTTTCATCCTTGACCGAGAGCTCTGTGCTAGCGCCACAAGTGTTTGCCAGCATTATAACCCATACGCTACGGTGCTGCGTGCCTGGATATACCCCCAAGTCAAGCAATAGGTGGACAGCTTTCAAACAAACTGACCTGAAAAACAAAATGACGTCACTTGAAAAGTCAGCTGTGGAGTAGTTTCCTATACTAAAAAAGAAAACAAACTACACCGCAAAATAATACACATGCAAAAGTGAGAAAAAAATCTAAGCAAAATGAATCATTTGCATGGTGGAAAATTCTCATCTACCAAATGTATATTAAGCACTTAGCATCTGCAGGAGCACCTATAGAGCAAGTCACTCTTCCCTAAAAGCATGTAGAGACCTTGTCAACCTTTAAAACCTTGATTGTACTTCATTTTGTGATTAAACATAGCAACCCTACAAAAAGAATTTGAAAGCCTCACAAGGGCAGTTATTTGTGCTGCCTCCAAGAGAGATGTCGAACATTTTGCTTCATGCCTGACGCATAAATTTACAGATGTGTTTCTATTATTTTTTTAACTGCAAAATCTTTGTGCGGAGGGAGAATTTGGGTTTAAGTCATCGGGCAAGGAAAGCCTTCCTGTGCACCTCGAGCTGCCCACAGCACAGGTCAGGCAGCTCCAGCTGACACCAGGGCTGCCTCACCCGCAGCTCCTCCACGCCTTTGCTGATCACCAGCCAGTCCATCTGGAAACCAAAAACCCCACGAGGATTTTGTAACTTCTGCTTCTCTGCTCACAGAACAGGCCCCGGGGCCTCCGTCTCGTCTCGCTCCTCTGCTCAGTGCTCAGGTCTGGCGCGGTTCGATGTGCTCGAGCCTTATTCCAGCAAGGTGCTTTGTGTACTGCGGCTGCTAAGGGACTCGCACGGTTTGAGATAAGCAGGTTCTTAATTACTTTTTTGCTAAATTAGGGATGATCTGCGTGACGGCTTAAGCGATGGCAGCTCTTCACCAAAGGCATGACTTCCCTCAACAGCCTCTTTAAGCACAAGGCTAGCAAGATGGAAAGTTATCACAGCTACATAATTCAACAACAAGATAACAGGCTCGTTTCTTTCCAGAAAGCATTGTAAAAGCATTTTTAGAAAGCAACAGCCTCATTTGTGGGTGTCCTGTGACACAACAGCCTTTCTGTTCCTCAAGTATCTCTCTCCCTGCGTATTCCGATTATGATTTCAATCCTGGTAGCTCAGTTTTTGAAACCTGTAACAGACAGATGAGATCTCGCGTGTGCCTGCCTATGGTGGCATTAATACTCCCCAAGGTTTAACAGAAATGTCTTCTCAGCTGCATCTAAAACCAGAGTTAATTTCTCCATGGCTGCATTATATTTGTGGCTCCCAGCACTGCCTGTTCTTCTCCAACGTTTCCAAGTGCTGAGCTCCCAGCTGATAGCAGAGAGCTCTTGTCACGAGTCCCTAAAAATATAACACTGCTCAGTGGTAATATGAAGTCCCACCATTGTTCCTGTTACTCCAGTTCTTCCTCTACCATATCCCAACCTCCTTAAGCATTGAAGATGCCTCCAAAATTGGATTTACCCAAAAGTTTTTACATGCTTAAACCATATCTTTAGCTTTAAAATCAGATACGTGTTGCTGGAAGTTTGGCTAAACCCCCTAAATTGCCGTGGAAGACACAGAGCCACGACACTGTATGGACCAAAAGCGTTCATCTGCCCTTGAATGGCGCTCCCCAAGAGCACGTTGGTTTACCCTACTGTGAAACGGAGCAGAAATCAGCAAAAGACAGGTTTTTAAAAGTACAGGTAGTCACCAGGGAAGGCACAGCCTGCTAGCCACCACTGCTTTAAAAATAGCCTCTTTTCAGAACAACGAGTTAGAGATGACTCAAAATTCAAGTTCCTGAAACCCCAATAGGTCGTGTTATGCAAATCCAACCCTGCGTGCCATCAGCTGGGAGCAGGCTCATGAGCCAGGAGATCTCTATTAAGAGCACTAAAGCCAAACCGTGATCGCAGTCACGGGCACATGTTAAAAACCACACGGCTCAAAGAGCACTTGGCTCAGGCATCAAGTCTGAGACCCCGACTCCCTCGAACGCGTGCTCCATGCAAAGACTGTGGGGAAGGCTACGGGTCCGGGGAAGTCGGGTGCCTTGATCTGCCCCCCGTTTGCAGCCCACAGACAGATGAACTTCAACCGGGGCGCGCTGATGGGCGACACAGATGGCGACTCCTGCTCTTACACAACCGGGAGGCGCCGCGCTCCTGCCGCAGCCCAGCGCACGCCTCGCCGGGACCCTCGGGTGGGCACAGCTGTGGGGTGCCCCCCATACCCACAGCATGGGTACAAATGGGCAGCAAAGCGCAAATCCCGACTCCAGGAGGAAGCGTTTAGCATCCAAGCACTGAAGTCCCGTTACCGAGCTTCTCATCAATCTGATTTTACCTGTAAAAAAAAAACAAACGGCTTAAACGCTTCCTTCTGAGCACAGCGCCGTCTGGGGGGGGGATGCCGCCTTCTCCCCGCACAAGCCTGCCCAAACCCGGCGGTGGGCAATGACCATCCGAGCGGATGAGTTAGCACCGCCACGACCCCATCGCCACAATTTCCCTTGGCTCCGTGACACCTCCGGGGGCGGAGGCCGGCTATTTTGGAACAGATAACCACCAAACGCAATAAAATAAAATAAAAAAAAAAAAAAAGAAGCAAAAAGACGCGATCCCATTCATTTCCTCAGCTCCCCCCATACCCGAACCAGGGCCGAAGACGCCGTCTCCCGGCCGCGCTGCGGCGCGGAGCCCCCCCGGCTGCCTCCCCCCGGGGCGGTGCCGGCTCTGGGGGGGGGAGTGCGGGGACATTTTGCAGCAGCCCCCCGACCCCAAAGAGCCCCGCAGCCCCCCTCACCTGCCAGCTCGTCGGGCTCCAGCCCGCTCTCCGCGTCGATGCCGCAGAGCACGAAGTAGTGGGCGAAGCGGCAGGGAGCCGCGCCGGGCCCGGGGGCGCCGCTCCCGCTCATCCCAGCGGGGGTGGCGGCTCCGTGTGGGTGCCGCAGCGCTCACGGAGCCCCCCCCGTCCCCGTCCCCGTCCCCAAATCCCCGTCCCCGGCGGCTCGCAGGCCGCGGCGGGCGGGCACCGAGCGGCCCCGGCCCCGCCGTCAGCTGAGGGGGGCGGGAGGAGCGGGCGCACCGCCCCCGCGGGGCTTTTAAAGCCTGCCCGGCCCCCCCCTGCTGCTGCTGCCCGGCCCCGAGGGGAGCTGAGGGGCTCCGGGGGTGGGAGGGGGTCCTAAAGCTTCTCTTCATGGCCTGATGGACCAGGGTTTGACAGCCCTTCTGGCATATCCAGGAAGGAATCGGCGTGATTTTAGCCCCGTTCCTGGGAGCCCTCTGGTTATTGTCACCCCACACCGAAGCACTGGCTGATCTGCTTTTAAAAGGGTAGGGTTTGGAATCACAGAATCACTCCATGTGCGATTTAATTCTTCCCTCAATTCACGTACTACCCTTGGTATATTCAGTGTGCAACATTCAGCCCCATCCCTTGCTCACCATGGACTCTTAGGATCTCCCTCAGTTACCTCTCAGCACCATGAGCCACACGCTCTGATCTGTGTTTGTCCTTGTTCAACAAACCCCTTTGATGATGGCATTGATGTAGGAAATGCCCACACAGAACTCATTATTTCACCTTCAACACAGGCCATAATGCAGAGGCAGGGGGAAGAACTGCTCCCTCCCACCCGCTGGCAGCCCTCAGCAGCATCTCTCAGGGTCTCCTTCCCCTTGAACCACCACGTTAGATGCCCTTTCACATCTCACCTTCCTGCCTACTGAAAGCAGACAAGGACTCAACCAATTTCCCCACTAAAATATCCAAGGAAAAAGAAGATCAGAGCCCTCTGTCACATCACAGCCTGTGGTGGCTGCAGTGCTCAGTGAAACAAACTAGATATTGCTGGATCCACACAGGAGTTTTCCATGAGTCCAGTCATTTTCTCGACTTTGCACTGAGAGCCGGGTTATTTTATTTAGTTTGGTTTGTTTATTAACTTGTATCTGCCTGCTCAGTTGGCTGTAGGTCAGAGGATAAGAGCTTAGTCAGTCTCTGACTCTCATTCAAGCCTAATTGTTCTCATTCCTGCTGTAGGTGTCTCTTTGGAGGCCTGACCGCACAGGTGTCTCTGGGAAGTCCAAGAAAAGTGGCTTCACCAGCCTCTGTAAAAGATGGTATGAGTTAGGACACCCTCTAAGAGTAACCCAACATTTAACACAACAATCCTGACCTGTTCTTGGGCAGCAGGCAGTTCTAGATAGCGTTGTTTAGCTGTCTTCTGCACGGGACAACATTTTTTGGTTCAAATAGTTTAGCAGATGTTTTAATCTCAAACATCAATGACACATAGAGCATTAAACATGGGCATGAACTACAGCATGTGAGATTACAGGTTTAAAATCCAACAAACGGGGTCCAAAAATCCACTCCTCTTCCTGGAGCAGCTGTAAGGTTAAGCTCCTGCACCTATATACACAGCTCCCACAGACGCTCTTGCAGGAGTTTCACATGGGCAATGATGATTTCTTCTTATAAGATGGATCTTCTGCGCATGTCATCCCAATGAGGCCACCCAGCTCCTTCTCAGTGCCAGCAGATGTGGCAGCACCAAATATTCCCACCTGTGGTGAACCACTTTATGTCCCTGGGCCTGGATTTTTGTCATCTCAACCCTTCCATCTGAGCTGTTCAGTCTTATCCTCCAAGCCAGCCTAGCTTCAGATGCCACATACCACTTTTCGGTAGCTCCCCTTCTTCACTTTCATCTTTTTTTTTTTCCTTTTACCCTAGCTCTCATCTCAAAGAATTGGTAACTTCTAAGAGATTTTAACAATTAAAGTAAGCTTGACAGTAGTTTCTTTGGACAATATTAAAATTTCAGAACTCACATACACAACTTTAGTTACATGAGGGCCCTCTGCCTTCCTGCCCAGTGGCACTGCTCTCCTCCACTGCAGGAGGCAGACTGGACACCCATTTACAGCTACTTTTTTCATTTGTCTTCTTTCAGGCTGCTTCCTTGGCTCGTAGCATCTACCCTACCCCACGCTTTGTGCCCCCCCCGTGCTCAGCTGTGCCATGCAGGGTTTTTTCTTAAAAGGCCCTGCTCACACAGGGTGTGTGAGCAAAATGCACTGGCACCTGCATGTAACATTGCCACTGCCTGATGCACAGTGCCTTACATTGTACAGCACAGGAAAGCACACAGGTCTTCCCTCCAGGTCCACAATTCCCTTTCCTCTTTGATTTTTTTTTATTTTATTTTTTTTTTGCACTATTTTCCCAGAATCTAGTCTTTTCCTATCCAAACCCATCCTGCGCAGGTCACCAAGGCCTCTCTAGAGGGGCTGCCCTGCTTCAGAGACCAGCCAAACACCTCTGTATTTACCACACTGATTGCCTACATTTTACAGCAGCCACAGGCAGGTCCACAAAAGGGCTGTTGAACTTCTTGTAGAGGGAGTGGATAATGGGAACGAGGCCCCAAAGCATCAAAATCTGTGGTGTACGCTCACCAGTCAGGCACATGCCGTGGAGAAGCTTTTCTGCAGCCAGGGAAGAGGCAGTGACTGGTAGGGCTGTGCTGCGAGGCACACCTGGGATGATCGGAGCTAACAGTGGGATTATGAGGACTTTTTCCTTTCACCAGCAAAGGGAGTTGGCTCTCTGCAAGGGACAATGGGTGGGCTGGACGTCCCCTTTTCAAAGCACACTGACAATAATACTGGGGAGATGGGGCTTGTCCCTGGGACTGCAGAATACTGAGCAGTGCCAGAGCAGAAGGAGCAGGGATACAGTAGGACTGAAGCGCAGGTTGGGGTGAACACAAAAAACTTCATAGCATAGACCAGACCTGCCCGGGACCTTTTTTACTTTAATCTGCTCTCCCGTGGCAACAGCTTTGTTCCATCACCAGCAGCGTGTCAGCAGGGGGAGATTTTTGTCTTGGGGGGGTTTGTTCTTCCTCCTTAGGTACTCGTGTCTTGAGGGAAGATTTCTCCCAGTATCAAGTTGTTTCAGCCTTCCCGCTCCTTAATCTCTCAGCACGTCTTTGTTTTTCAGGATCTGTTAGTTTAAACTGGGTCAAATGCTGACAAGCGTGTCAGCCCCCCCTGCCCTTAGGATCTGCCAGAAAAGATCAGACTGCAGGTCTGTCAAGCTCCTTGTCCTACTTCTGTAAGGAGGCAATGCCCAACGTTTCGGAGAGGTGGCAAACCCTGCTACTTGAAGGCTGTATCACTTCTCCTTGCTGGGACTCTTGCTTCACATTTTATTTTCTTCAGCATTCTTCAATGAAATGAAAATCGCGCTTGCTGCTGATGGATTACTCAACTACTTAAGGCAGCTCTACAGCTTCCTGCATACGATCCCTCACCAGCTGCCAAGCCACATTGATTTTCCATTGAAAGCCTTTCTTATTTTCCTCTAATAGCTATGCAGTCACGAGATCTGGTACGGTGGAAGAGAGGGAAAACAAATTAGATGAAAACCAATGTTTGCGATGCTCAGAAGAATAGTTTTTACTTTTGGCTTACTTTGATTTGAGCTGTGAGCTACTTCATGAGAAGAAGAGTGCAAATAATTAGCTGAAAGGAACAGGCAGCTTATAAGAATGGACTTTAAGACTGACACTAAAACCATCCTAGGCTCAAAGCAGAGAAGAGCACACAGCAGAAACAGGGAGAAAAACAACAGCAGCAGCAGATCTTACAGCGAGGTTCATAAAGCAGTTTTTATTCTTTTAGCTTATGCAAGAGGACTGCTTAAAACCTTGGAAAGGTATTTGCTGCCTGAGGCTTTAAAACCAAACACACCAGATCACTAGCCAGAAGACATAGAGCAAAGAACATTTCCTCCAGCACAATTTGTTGTTGCTCAGAGAGCAGATACTGCAGGCACATATTCTAATATTAAATCAAATTATAATACCATTAAAGCAAGAAGCTCGTCTTCTATACTGGCCTCATATCTGTAAAGATTAAGCTGGAATAAAAGCACATGGCTTTCCTCTGTCACACTGCATAATTATTATTCATATAGCAGAATTATAGATAACGAAGGAAAAGATGACTGCTTCCCTGCATCTCTGCCACAGGAACTCCGAAGCTCCTGTGATTTACAATATAAAGATTTTAAATCTTTAATTCTCTGTTGTAGCTGATGCCATTTTGTCCATTTTATGTACATCCATCACATGTGCCCTTCCACTGCAAACACATCTAGACACATTCCACTCTTATTTGCTTTTGGAGAGGATCCCTGAGGGAGAGGTTTCACAAGACAACCAAAATGATTTAATAGCTGATTGCACCTTCTCTCTCCCTCCATCCCACTACTGGCCCTACGTGCTTTCTTCTCAAAAAACCTGCAGTATTTTCCAACCCCTTGGCAAGTGCACCTAGCCTGATTTCAGAAAGCTGATCCTACAGCACAGGCAAGGATGGGGATACGCAGCCTGTCTTCATTCTGCAAGCCTGGCTCCACAACTCAGCCCTCTGCCAAAGGGGCACCTCCTTTCTGGGCTGGGCAGGGCTCCCCGGTTTGGGACCTCCATTTCCTCCACACACGTTTTGTGCCAGAACGGTGAAAATCCATGATTCCTGCCTGCCGTTTTGCTCCACTTCTTTGCCTTTGATTTTTGCACTGAGATTGCAAGAGGCACCTCCTCCTGCCAAGCGCCCGATTAGGTGGGCTTCCCTTTTCCCCCTCACCAAGTCAGGAGCAGGCTCACGTGCAGCCGCTGCAATTCGGATGATTCAGTGCCAAGACCCAGAGGTCAAAGACCGCGCTTTGCCCTGCTCGGTACGCCTGCTGCTCTTTGCTCACTCCAGACGCACACGCCGAGATCAAACCCAATCAGCAAAGGACGCTGCTTGCATCAATCACTGGCACGTCACGCGCTAATGGAGGCGTTGTGCTGTAAGCGTCCAGCTAAAGCCCCCACGCAGCTTTCCATCCCAGCATCACTCCCTCGCCGCTTGACCTTGGCCAAATCCCTGTAGCCGCTGAGAAGCACCAGCTCCCAGTAATCGGGTCAGTGAGCTCCCCAGCTTCAACAGCCCCCAGGAGCATGGAGCAAACGCCGCTTCTCCCCTGCCCTAACATCTGCCAGGACAAAGCCCCGTTGTTCCCCAGGGTGGCCCTGCTGGGGGATGCACCTGTGGGCAGCCCCGGCGTCCCAGCGCCGCGCTGTGCTGGCAGATGCCTTTCCTGCAGCCCTGAGCTGGGCGTGCGGAGCAAAGCTCTGCTCTTTGTTTGGGAAGGGGCCGCGTGTTTTGGGCTCAGGGTTGCTCTCCGCTGGGGAGTTGTTTCCCCGGCTCTAGACTCGTATTCCCCTGATATCAGCGCCCCAGGACCTCAGCACGCGTTTGCTCGGGCAAGGAGTCTTGCCACTAAATGTACCCACGTGAGTTTCTGCCCACGGGAAGCGCTGGGAAAGCTTGCAGAGCAGAGACACTCAGGCTGTCACATACACCTGGCCAACATCGTGGCTTTTCCTTTATCTTTGCTTCCAGTCCCACGTCTGCTGCTATCAGGGGGAGCGTGAACCAACCGTGTATTTTCATGCGCTCCTGACAAAAATCTGTTCACAGAGAGCACGTAAGCTCTTTGTCAAATTGCCTTTGGCCCCGGTACAAATGTAATTAGAGTCTGATTTCAACTTCCCCGATTTCAATTTCCCAACTTCCCTTTGAAGCCCTATTCAGCAAGAAGTGCCAGACACCCCACATCTACATTACAATGCATCCCAGCACACTTGAAAGCCCAAGGGCGTGCTAAAGAAATCCAAATCCACTGAATCCATAGCCAATATACAACATGAGATCAAGGGCAGATGAAAAGTATTTCCTGAAATGAATATGCATTTTGAATTGTTTCACCGTTTAGCAAGGACTGCTGCTTTGCTGCGTGCAGTTATAATAAGCATTTATGTCTTTGGAGTGATGTTACGTTATCAATCTAAAAGCAGTTCTTGCAAATCAAAGCACGGAAGTGGCTGTTTCAATCTTCCTATTACAGCTTGTGTTTTTATAAATGTTTAGACTTCTGCTACCCATAGGTTCAGCCATCTCTCCACCGCTTATTCTTCATGGCAGATAACAATATATTGCCTGGAAGTACTTTGCTGCTTAGGATTCTTTCTACCAATGACAGCTCTGCCGTTTTGCCTTACGACACCCGTGCTTCTGTTTAGAAATACTGGAGTGCAGCTCGGAGCTCACATCTAACAGCAGGAGAGAGATCAAAGCAGTTTGCTTCTCCTTGAGGATCATGTTTCTGGGTGACTTCCTTGCAAGCCAATAGCCACAACATACTGAAAACCGGATCCATGCTGAGCAATTCCAGCAGTTCCTGTCAGGCACATCCTTTGCGGGTGGGAGCATTTAACACCCTCTGATGTGGCAGTAGGCTCAGTGCCTCCCCACAGGCCAAAATGCAAGAGTTAGGGGGCAATCCCAGGAGTTTTTCCCAAGCTAAACCAGAGGCATTGGCTTCCCAGTGCTCAGCATTGCCTGGCAGGGGTGAGAGCAAGACAGCAGCAGCAGTCTTTGGTGCTAGGCACAGTCACAGCAACACTGCTGCTTCCATCAGAGCTGGGTGCAGCTGCTTGCACGAGACCTGACTCTCACCTGTTAGAAACAGAGCTGTGAGATGAGGCAGAGCAAGATGGGGGGCTCCCAGGCTGGGTGTGCTGTGAGGAGCCCTGGGGTTGTGACAGGAGGCAGCTGAGCAGCTCTGTGTGTAGCTGGAGAGTCCAGCCCTGCTGGGAGCCAGTCCCTAAGCCCATCCAGGCATCTCTGCACCATTGCCTCTGCTGCCACAAAGGTATCTCATGAAACCCCCCCACCTGGAGCCCTGCGTTCAGCTCTGGGCCCCCAGCACAAGGACATGAACCTGTTGGAAAGTCTAGAGGAGGCCACAAGGCTGATCAAGGGCTGGAGCACCTCTCCCATGGAGACAGGCTGAGGGACCTGGGGTTGTTCAGCCTGGAGAAGGGAAGGCTCTGGGGAGACCTTACAGCAGCCTGCCAGTGCCTAAAGGGGCCTGCAGGAGAGCTGGGGAGAGACTGTTGGTCAGGGAGTGCAGGGATAGGACAGGGGGGATGGCTTTAAACTAAAAGAGAGGAGATTTAGATTAGATATTCAGAAGAAATTCTTCACTCAGAGGGTGGTGAGGCCCTGGCACAGGCTGCCCAGAGAAGCTGTGGCTGCCCCATCCCTGGAGCTGCTCAAGGCCAGGCTGGATGGGGCTTTGGGCAGCCTGGGCTGGTGGGAGGTGTCCCTGCCCATGGCAAGGGATGGGACTGGGTGGTCTTTAATTTCCCTTCCAAACAAAACCATTCTATTACTCTATGAAGGAAGCTGCAGCATGTTGCCTGAGTCAGCCTGGAGAGGTCTGAAGCACAATGCCATTTTATATGGGCTAATGTCAGTTTAAACTATTCTGTTAAAACAAACAAACAAACAAACCTCCATGGATCTGGCCTGGCATGCATTTCAAACCTGCTGATACAAAAATGACAGTTGCCTTTATTCTAAGGAGAAGGGTGTAAAACACATTTTGGAGGTTAACCTGCATGACTAAGTATGGAGGGGAAAGCCAGGGGAAGTAACTCTTTGAAGGGTATCACTGAAAATTGATAACAGGTCCAAATGCTGAGACCTTTTCCAATCCCCTGAGACCTTCCAATACCTCCATGTGCACAAGTAGTAGCTCTTCTCTGCTTGGTCACGTTGAACTTAAGCTCCAACACATTAATCATGAGAGTGATCTGTTTGGGGCTGCAGGGCAGCTGTATTTCCATTCCTCTGGGCATCCCCGCAGTGGGGTCATTTGTTTAGACACTTTAGACACCAGTGCAAAATACCGAAGAGCAGAGGTCCTGACACAGCTTGACCCTGACTCACAGCTAAGTTGCTTCAGGAACCTGAAACTCCCCCAAAACATCATAGCAAGCATCAACCAGAAGAGGAGGCATATCGAACATGAGCAGTTTCCCCTAGGAACTCTCTAGTGAATAAATGCTGCCTGTCTTGCATCTGCTTCAGACCTCCATCACTTCCTCTGTCCCCAGATCCCTGCGAGAATCCAAATGTTTGGCAGACTACCATGTGGAAGGTGAAAGGAAGAGTTCAGCTGATGCCAGGCTCTAGCACCAGTGGGAAACTAAAATATTCTGTGAAGTTCTCCGGCACTGGGGAAATACTGAATCAACCAGCTCCAGGGAACTGATGCAGCTCCTTGAAATCTTTGCTTACCTTACCTTATCCCTGGCATCAGTTAGCATGGTCCTTAGAAATCAGACAATCAAATGTACTTCTACACCAGGGTTCATTTCTGGAGCATGCTGGAGCACTGCCTGGAGAAGAGAGAAGGAATTAGTTGTGGGTTTGAACACACTACTGAACAGAGCCCACCTGGCAAGAAAGAGAGCTAAGCTTGGGAAACAGTGGCTGCATTACGATCCAGGCTGCAGTTGTGTTCTCTTGCTCCAGATGAAACGTTGGCTTAGCACTGTCGTTTGGCATCTCTGGGGAAAGCTAAGGTCTGAAACCATGAGACCTACAGATCACCCATGGAACATTAAATATTGAGGGGATGCGAGGCAGAGCCCTGAGGAAGAGGCAGGCAGGATGGATTTTCCTGTTGCAGGAAGTCAGGAAGGATGAGGACATGGAAAACATCTTCATTTCACCCAGGCAGGCTTAGACAAATACAGATTGCCTTGAGACCAGCTGGAGAGGCTCCCTAGCGCACAAGCAGCCCCTTCTCAGCTGTCATCTCCTTCCTCTCTCAGGGCTTTGTAGGGAAGTGCAGACTGATGTGATGGTACAGAAAAAAAAAGAAAAGAAAAAACAAATAAACAAACAAACAGATAAATGACGTGACAGCAGTCAGCCATTCATCAGCTCTATTTGAAGCCCTTCCTTCTTCCTCCAGGAGCTCTGTCCCACCATAGGCTAGCTCCAGAGATGAGATACCCAGCTCCCAAGTTGAGATACCCAACAGCTTCCAGTAGATTGCTGTAACACTAAAGCTCTAGCCACCCAAGAGAGAGCACAGGCGTCCAAAAAGCTTTTACAGATTTTACATAGTAGCATCACAGCGGTGCAAGAAGTACAACGGGGACCGTTCAGTGAGTGGATGACAAAAGGGAGCTGTGAAGAAACCCACTAACTATCCCCCACCAGCCATTCTTTGGGAGTACTAACACAGTCACCCCCAAATGGCTGTGCCAACATCATGGTAGCTCCTTCTTAGATGCTGCCTGTGTGGAAACCTTCTTGCTGTGCAACCAGAACCACCAGCACACCTGTGTGTACACAACACAGCTCTGGACACGTTCATTAACTGCAGATATGCTCATCAGGTTCAGCTGGTTTCTGCCCAAGTTTCCCACACAGTGAGGTTTCACTCAGGCTAGCTGATTGTCACAATATACCCCACCTGAGTCAAGGTCTCGGTATTTCAAGGAGACTTCAGCTGTTAAAAAACAGAGCTTAAGCACCCTTAAAAATATGCATCCTCTTGTTTTAATATCAAAATAAGTAGCCCCACAACACTCTTGCATGAGCAGTTAGCCAAATCCGGACCAGCACACAGCTGCATCAGCAAGGTACAGCACTCTCTGAAGAGCAATGAACACAAAGAAAAGCAGAAACCCTCTGACTCCATGTGTCTTTTGAGGCTTTGCCTATGCTACATAAATGCTCCCATGCTTGGCTGCGCATGAACATGAGCAAAAAACTGAGACCAATTGCATTTTAACTGTGTATACAGGCAAAGACAAAACTAGGGATGATGTTAGAAATGAGAGTTTTCATCTTCTTGGTCTTACCTCTGTGACTCTTGCAAGAACCCTTCATCTCAGAAAGACTAAGCCTACATAAGCATGAGGGACAGATTAACTTAGCTTTTGCTTATTTCACCCCATAGAAAACTATACCTTGCATGCTCCTCTGCTTCCATCCTATGCCAGGCTGCACCTGATACCTTTATTTTTGCCAGCTGTTGCTCGTTCCTTCTCCTAACCCAATGCAGCTGGAAGGTATAGGGACAAGTAAACCTATGAAAAACACACACAATGCTTTCAGGACATATTGCATATAATGTATGATTTGTTTTGTCAGGCTAGCTATTCTTCAAATGCAAAAGATGCAGTGATTCTGAAATGAGTAGGTGTGGATTGTACCTGGAGGCACAACAGAATAATTGAATTGCCTCTCCCTTACCTAGCTAGTGCTCTCAACTTCAATTTTCCCTTAGCCACTAGCTAATGTGCCAGCTGTATTTTGATAATGACTTGTTTCTGCAGCCTCTAGCCAACCACAAATTGATCCTGATGTGCAAAACCCCTGACTGTTGATATTGAGTTGTTGGGAGGCTTTTTATAATTCAACAGCACTCCAAATGAATCCATATTCTGTGAATTTCCACTGAGGTCCTTCTGTTGAAGTGAACAATAGCAGTTGGCCTTGCAGGAAGAGCTCTGGGAATTGGAGCTGTAGATTCAGTTTTAAAAGGTAGGAGAGAAGGAATAAGGTGAGGTTATCAACCGGCTGCTGCCCTGCAGGTCTTTCTTCCCTTGGGTTTAACCTTTGTATCTGCAACGTCTCATGAGTCATGGGTTCCTTAACATGAAGGCAGCTCTTCTCTGTCTTCCCTTTTTCCCCATTCTCAGACACTTCCACTTGTTTTTGTTGTTAATTGGTTCAGACAAGATTTCCCCAGGGTCCTAGGCAGTTTTATCATCAGCCCGTAATCCACTAATTCCCTTGGACGCACAGGACTCCCTTTTGTGTTATGCTACAACTGCCTCTTTGAACGAGTTGCGCTCCTCCACCATCTATCAGATCAATGTTTTGTTGTGATTAAAGTTGTCCTTGTCCTCAGAGCAAATTCCAGCACAGTTACGTTAGCTGGCTGCAAACTGCATCAAGCGTTTGATCAGCAGAAATTCTCAAGATGCTACTATCTAACTAAAGCAAAAAGCCTTAGGAAATGAAACACTTTTTTTTCTCACAGGGATGGGTGGTGATCCTTTCCTGACATAATCAACAAGAGCACATCCTGAAAGTCTAAGTGGTTTACCCAGACTTTTGCAAGAGGGCTGGCAGCTATCATCGGTATCAGAGCCTTTTAACGTCACACTTGGAGTCTGGAAGGGTTTTTTTTAACTGCCTCAGTGGGGTGCTGCTCTGTATTAGAGAGCAGTGACCTCACTGAGGTTCAAATAGCTACTGAGCAATACCATGTACTGGGAGTTCAGAAGAACTAGGCCTGAGAAGTTACTTCTTAAAATGCCTGGAGACTGACGATCAAAGTGAACAGGCTTTCCTGTGAGGTTTCTCTGAGAACCTTCTGAGAGCATCAGCAGTATTTTGCAAGTCTCTTCTCAGCCATAAAATAAAATGTACAAGGCAGAGATGTATTATGTGATAAAGTCATTATCACACCTTAATAAGGCACCCTGAGCTGATGTTGGTAGTCACTCTTCTATTACAGTACTGAGCTCTTTATTTCAGCAAGAACTGCTGAAAGATTCAAGACCTTTGAAACCTCACAGTTCACCCTAAGGCCTCCAAGAAATAATGTCCTTCCTGCACCTAGGCCATGCTTTGATATCAAAGCCTATAAAAGATGAGGGGTGACTCCTGCTTTACAGCCACATGCGGACAAGTAAAAGACACGCAAACATCCCTACAGCTCAACACGCTGGTGGACTTCAGCCCCCTTCATGTGGTGAGCAGACACCAGCCTCTGGATGGGCCCTGGCCTTCTCCTGCTGCATCCTGGCCTCTTGGCAGCCCAGCACGGTGGGGCCACCTTCCTTGGGCACTCATGGAAGACTAAATAATTTTAAGGCCTTGCTTTGCACCCTGGAGAGCACATTTCATGTGTATGGAGCCAGCAGGTCACTAGATGGCCTCATAACCCAGGCGATCGGGCAGATCCAGGTTTCGCTTGTGTGATCTGCTCTTAACCCGGCACCTGCAGAGCTGCAGGGCTGGCAGCATCACCTCAGGCACGGCTCAGGAGCCATTTACAGAACGCAGCATGTGAAATTTGGGACACTTTGTGCCACGGGGAAGCTAGAAAAGCCTTGTTTGCTGTTCTTGTCAGAAGCTGCTTCTATTCCCCACTGGGGCCTCTTGTGTCCCTTAGCTGGATCCAGCCAGGACATCAACGAAGCAAAGGCAGCCCCTGTGGGAAGGCTTCTGTGGTGTTGTGGCACCCAACCACCCAGTGGGGAACCCAGAAATTCTCCTGGTGTGTGTGGGATCGTGGCTGGGGAAAGAGGAGCAAGATGAGGTATGAGGGTTTGATTGCATGCTGTAGTCACTGCCTGGTGAAAACATGCTTTATTGCCTAAATATATATATATTTAAAGGGAATGAAGGAAACAGAACCATTCATAAGTTGTCGGGTGCTTGTCCAGAGCAGAGCAGCTTGAGGGGAGGCCTCATGGCACCTGCAGCTCCCTCACGAGGGAAGCGGAGGGGCAGGTGCTGAGCTCTGCTCTCTGGGGACAGCGACAGGACCCGAGGGGACGGCATGGAGCTGGGACAGGGGAGGGTCAGGCTGGCGGTTAGGGAAAGGTTCTGCACCCACAGGGTGCTCGGGCACCGGGACAGGAGCGATTTAAGCCGCCCTCCCTCATGCCCCTGCTGTGACGTTTGGGGTGAAAGAGAAGCGAGGGCGCCCTCAGCGCAGCAGCCATGTTGCCGACTTGAGGGACAGCGGCTGCTCGTGTCGGCACGTATCGCGACACAGGACACCGGCAAGCCGGGAGCCGAGCCCCCCAGCGCCGAGCCCTCTCCCCGTGCTGCCGCTTTAAGGGCGGGCGGCACAGCACAGCACAGCCCAGCACGGCCCGGCCCGGCCCCGGCGCGGCGCAGCGGGGCGGAGCGGCGCAGCGCGGCGGCAGCAGGTAGGTGGCGGCCGGCAGCGCCCCGCGACAGGCCCCGGCCCCGCCTCGCCCCGCCGCGGGGGGGCGGCCCTGTCGCGGCCTTGTCGCGACTGAACCTCGGCCTGTCGGGCGCGGTAGCGTGCTGTGCATCAAATTAACGTGCAGCAATTAGCGGGGGATTACGCGGCTCGGCCTGGCCGGGGAATGTCGCGTGGGTTAATTACCCGCGGTAATCGCCTGGGCTCTGCCCAGTGGCGTTCTCAGGCGTGGAGAAGCAAAGCGTTGTCACAGGTGTTTGTAATGAAAATACTGAGCCTGCAGCCAGCGATTAAAGCCAGGGTTTGGCAAGCTGAATAGCAGGTGTTGGGTGTCAGGAAGCAGTCAGACTAAAACTAAAGCAAAGGCTGTGCTCACACAGCAGAAAACACAGGAGCTTCTGCTGAGGATGTGGACAAGGAAAGGACAAGTGAAGCCCCGAGACACAAAGTGCTATTCACCCACTGCTCAGCCTCTGCCTATGGCCCTGTTTGCTAGCAGAGGCCTCGAAAACCAGCCTTGAGCAGTCAGCAGGCACCTAAGTGTGAGCTTGCCCAGCCTGAACGCTTCATCTTCTAAAGACAGTTTTGGGGAATGTGCTGGTTCTGTTTTTCTTGCGTTAGCTCGGGTTAATCTTTTCGTTTAATTTTTTGGCTGTCGGCTTTCCCACTAACTGGTTGATTCTCATTGAATGTGTTGATAGCATTCTTCCCAGTGGGTCCTGTGACAGCTCCTTCCTTACATACCACTCCCTGCAGGCTTCAAAGGCTGTCTGGGACAGGGGCAAGACACATGTTCATGACAGTACAACAGCACGGGAACCTCTGCTCCCTAAAGCCCTGGTGGTGCTTAGCCCTGCAGTCACAGAAAAATCGCTTACATAGCGTTATTTCCCTTTCAGGAATCATCATCTGTCAATATGAAAAACAGCGTCCTGTGAGTTTGCTTCCAGCCGCCTCGTCGCCCGTCTCAGATAAGCTGTGCTCCAAGCTGTCCTAGGGAGAGATGGCCTTCCGTGGCTGGAGGCGGCTCCTGCTGGGCAGGCAGAACACCCTGGCCAGGGCTTGGAGGAGCAGGAGAGGAGCCCCTTCTCTGCGCTGGAAGCGCTGCCGCCACTGGAGCGCTGGCAGGACTTTGGACCCTGAGGTGAGGGCGTTTTTGGAGGAGAACACGGAGGTCACCAGCAGCGGGCACCTCACGCCAGAGATACGACTGCGCCTCCTCACCCCTCGCTGCAGGTTCTGGAGGGAAAAGCCTGACCTGTGGCCTTACGGGGACCCATTCTGGGCAATTTACTGGCCAGGAGGCCAAGCCCTGTCCAGGTATGCAGCACACATCGCTGAAAACACTCAGTCCAGTCTGCAGCTGGCCAGGAGGTCAGGTCTGGCTCTGGCTGTAGTGATTTATGGTGACATGTAGTTGCCTTGTATGAGAGCACATCATCCATGCTCCTCTCTGCTTATACAGGATAGAAGCAGTCTCTTCTGGTTGGCTGTGAAGTTTCAGCACCTGCTATATGTAGAGTAGCTTATAGCTCTTATGTTGAAATCTGTTGTCTTCCATGGAGCTGCATGCGTTGACCACAGGGTTGAATTTGGATCTGTGGAAGAGCTGTGCGTTTGCCATCAAAACCTTGCAGAGTGTTTAGTGCCATCACCCATTGTCACTCCTAACAGAAGGATGGCTGTTCTGTGGTGACACGTTGCTCTTGCTGCTGTTGTTGGAGACAGACAGGCAGTGGATGTATGTCTGGTCAGCTGAGAAAAGTAGGTTTGTGCTGATGCTCTTGGAGTGCTGGCTAGCCTGAGTCGATCTCTTCCTTTAGGATTTCAGCAGCCTTATTATCAAGCTTTACTGACTGCCTTCTGGTCACATCAGAAGCCATACTTTTATTTTTGCCACCTACTGTAGAAATGTGTTTGAATGTTGTTGCTATTCCTGATTCCCAGAAACTAGTTAGAGTTCTGTTCTTCTGTGAAATGAAATACCTTACTTTGAATAGCAGGAAAAAAAAAGTAATTATAACAAAGTAACTGTCAGACATTTCTTATGTAGATGAAATGGGAGGATCTGAATTGGGGCTTTGCTGTTTTTCTGGTGGGAAGTGTAAATAGGATGGCACTTTCAGCCAGGAAAAAGATGGGTTGTGCAGTTAAATTGTTGATTAGCCTGCCATTTAGACAAATTAGGATGCTTCTAAACAGTGCAAAATTGAATAAGATAAGGTAATCTCTATATCTTGTTACTATACGATTTATGTGCCCTGATATTTGGGTAGCAATACTAATGGTCTGGCGTTTCACCACTTGATTGTCGTACTGTTTATGCCCTTGTCTTGATGTATTGGGCATGTCAGAAATCAGCCGTGTAATCTGAAAAAGTAAAACAAAACCAGGAACCTGAAAACGTGCTTTTTCTTTAACCGTGCTTGTTTCACAGTTGGCGTTTCCACACCAGGAGTCTCCTGTTCCGAGCTACTCCTCTCTGTACCGTAAGATGCCTCGTTATTCCATCATGGCCATGGCATGTCCCTGCCAGGGGACGCGTGCCCTGTCACTGTGGTCATTAGGGGAAACCTGAGAAGCCCTCAGCTGGAAACACAGCACTTGCTGTGCTTGGGCCAGCCCGTGCTGTGCACGTTACTGCAGGAACATCACTGCAAATCCAAGCACAGCCTCTAGACAGAGGAAACAGGGCTTCCATGGAGGTCCCACCCTGTCCTTTGGCCTGTTTGCAAACTATCGGCTGGTCTCAGAGGAGGAGGGATTATGTGGCGGGGGGCAGTTGCCAGACTGCTGAGCCTCTCTGCACAAAGGTCTTTCCTGGGTGCCCTCATAAACAGAGAGCATTTGAAAAGTAGCAAACAACAGGGCAAAGCTGTGGTAACAGCGTGACAAAGCTGTATGTCAAACCTCACAGGAGAAGGTTATTTTCATTAAAACAAAACCAATATCACTCACTGGTCTCATATCCCCAGCTCAAGCACCGAGCTGTGGTGGGGAGAGGGGTAACGAAGGGCAGTGGTACTTGATTTTTCCATCAGCAGAGGCAAATAAGGAGTTCTGTACCACAAGGCATATGTGGGACAAGCATCCTTTAAGATACCACGCTTCATTACCTGTATGAAGTAAACTCTTGTGCAGCATAATGCAAACCCGAGTAACCTGCATAACGTGTATTGCACTAACAGCCTTCCTTTTAAATCCAGGTACATTCTAGATAATCCACGCGTTGTTAAAGGGCGATCAGTTTTGGATCTTGGAAGTGGATGTGGAGCAACAGCGATAGCTGCTGTGATGAGTGGTGCATCCCAAGTCCTTGCTAATGACATCGACCCTAGTAAGGCTTTCTTTTCCCATCTCTCTGTAAAGACCTTTATTGTTTTTATTAAAGCATGTTTAACACTGACTTTTCTTTGATTCACTTGGCAGAAATTCAGTTTCCAAACAGAGTTCTGTGAGCGCTAGAAAGATGAATGGATTTTGCCAGTGTTAGAAGCTGGGTTGCACCAAGTGTCTGCATAGCAGTGAACAAAGTCTCTGTCAAACATGTGCTAATACACCATCACAGCTGTTTTGGAAGAGAATCCCAAGTGTAGGTGGCAAGCTGGTTTCTCTATAGGACCATAGCATTTTTCCTGCAGTTTCATGTTAGGGCCTGAACTTTGCCTTTCTTTCCCTCCAGGTTTTGTTTTCCCTTAACTGACTTGTGAATGCAGTTTGTTCATAGCTTGATTACTCATTGATTAAGGGAGGAAGTATATTCGTAGGTTGAGACAAGAGGGCTATTCTACATGTAGTTTGATCCCTGGACTGCCCTTGGTTTCCAGTATGGATAGTACTTCCCTAGGTTGTAGTGTGGTGATAAAATTCCATCACTTCGTGCTAGATTTTGACCCATAATGAAAGCTGTGGAAGTCCTTTGATTGGATAAACAAAAATATTTAAGAGATTAAATTGAAAAACGCATCAACAAAATTTGCAAGGGGCCTGAATGGCAGAATCCTAAAACTTTTTTTTACTCTGTGACTTTTCTTCAGTTGCAGGCATGGCAATGAGGTTGAACTGTGAACTGAATCACCTGGATCCCTTCCCCATCGCCATTAAGAATATCATTAACTCGGACGCTGGCAAGTGGGACCTCATTGTTCTGGGCGATATGTTTTATGACGAACAACTTGCTGACGGTCTCCATCGCTGGCTGAGGAAGTGCATCAGGATGCATCAAACTGAAGTGCTGATTGGCGACCCTGGCAGGTATCAGTTTTTAAGCCACAGCATTCACAACCAGCTCCACAAAGTGATAGAATATTCCCTTCCTGAGTATACCAGACAGGAAAACCATGGATTAACATCAAGTATCGTCTGGAGTTATCAGCCCTCATCAAATAGCTTAGAAAGCTGTTAAAGCTGGTTTCCTAATCAACGTTGTCTCACTTGGGTGGCTTTTTTTTTTTTTGTAAGTATATAAAACAGAAATGGAAACTAAACATGGAACATACCTGTTAATACTAAGTAGGTTACTGTTCCTTCACTGTAGTGATTTCAGTCATGTTCACTGAGACTTTGGATCTATATGAGGTAACAGCTACATGCAAACTTTTTTCAGTGAGACCTGCTGAAGTGCAAATCCAAAGAGATTGCACTTCAGAGTTTGCATGCTTGATGTTTTTTGTCTAATTCATGTGGTAATTTCACTCCTTGACACTACTGTGAAATGTTTTAGGTGTTCAGTATACCACTGTGGGGAGAGAGGAAGATGGCAGCTGAAAGATTACTGCACTGCTTTAACACACTTTACAGAAAAATTGATTGTTGTCCTTTGTATAACTCTCTGCTAGACTATTAGCTTACAGTATACTCAATTCTAAGTGCCTTGCTCTGTTTCTGGATATCTCTTCTGAATGTCCAAGTAACTAATTTGTGTCTCCCCCTTCCTTCTAAAATAAATCTATTCTTCCTTGAAGCTGTTGGAGTGGTTATTTAGGAGCCTAAAACATGTTTCTTGACTTGTAGCCACAGTAAAAGTTCTAAATACCTGACGTGATTATATAGCCATAGGATACATGTTCTCCTTTAGAGAGAACATTCAAATGGCTACATTCCCTAACTTTGCAAGGGTAAAAAAAAAAAAAAAGACAACTTATCATGAGGGGAAAAGGATGGGGGTTGAAGTTGTCTTTCCTTCTGCCATTTTTCTGAACAGAACCACAGAATGCTGGAGGTTGGAAGAGACCTCTGGAGGCTGTCTGGTCCAACCCCCTTCTCAAGCAGGGACACCTAGAGGCTGTGAGAGACTCTAAGTTTAGCAACGTGAAGCAAAAACCAGTGTTTTCAGAGCAGCCTTGCAGAATCTATAATTTTTAGCAGTTTACTACTTAATAAGCAGTGATGGGGAACTAAAAACCAAAGAATGGAACACAATGCCCCTACAACTATCCAAATACCAGATGACAAGGGTTAAAGCTTTTAACTAAAGAAGTAAGTAGCACTCACTCATAAAACCAATGTTTATAAAATAGGAAGTTAATGAACAATTATCTGTGCATAACATTCAGCTGTTATAAAATATAATTTAACAAGTTTTCAGAAATATCCAAACAGAAGACTTACAAACGTTAATATTCAAAACAATACATAAATATTCTGCATGTTCACCCAAGAATTTACAACACCCGAGTACAATATAGAATATGAAGTGGTAAGTGCATACGTGACGTTCGTCTCCCACTTCACCCCAGCACTCTTAAACATTTATTAAAAACGACTGACTTAATCTGAATCGAAACCAATTCCAGTAGAATTATGCTAGTAACAAACCAGTAAGACAGTAGTCTTAAGCTCTGGAAGTGAAAGATTTAGCAAGACTTACACATTAAACTTTCAAATCTAAGAATGTAGTGTTACATATTGCAGTGTTGAAAGTTCGTTTTTTTTTAAAGCACAAGCTAAGGATACAGCACTAAGTTACACATCTAGAAGAGATTAACAGGAGAAGACAGTAAATCTGCACGCATGTTTGGGGACAATATAAGCTGCATTTGCCACTGACATGACAAATTCAGGGTTACATTAACAAGGCAACAGCTTTGCCAGTGGGGTTAGCACTGTTTAAGTACCGTTGACTGTTACAGGCTTCAGTGGTCTTCCCCATTTAGCTGCTTTACATGTCCCCATGTACAATTTTCTTTTTGATGCAGCACTTGAAATGAGTCTGGCAACCATCTCTGCACACTGTTACATGTCCCGCAGTAAGAGACAGGGGGAACAGGCTTGTTCAGCTTGGGGAAGTGAAGGCTTCAGGGGATCTAGCAGCAGCCTGCCCATACCTATTAGGGGGCTACCAGGAACACAGCCAAGAGAGAAAGGGCACAGGATGAAACAGAATAGGGCCAAACAGGATAGAAGGATTATTTTTTTTCCCCATCACAAGAGCAGTTAAACAGTGGAACAAGTTATCTGAGCTTGTGAAGGCTTTCTCCGCTTCAGCTTTTCAAGTCTTGGCCAGGTAAAGCCCTGATTAAGCTGGTCTGAACCAACCCTGCTTTGGGCAGGAGGCTAGGCTAGAAAGTTCCTGGGGTCCCTTCCCACTTGAGCTAGCTTATGATTCTACTTCATCTTTTTGTGGCAGATAAATTACTGCATACAAGCATTAGGGATTTAGGCACCTGAGTTTGAGAATTGCTCTTTCAGCTACACATGAACAAGATTTCTAAATGCATCTGCTCTTCCACAAGCCATATAATGAGAGAAGAACAGAGATCATTGTCAGATATCATAATATCCTTTAACATTACTGGATGCAACATATATTATCTTTCATGCAATTTGACCAGAACTTGAAATAGACTAGAAGACTGTTTTATTTCTATAACATTTTAAATAAGTGTTGGCTATGACAAGTGTTAAGTTATAAACATAGTCCTTCTGCTTGCCTAAACTCATGGGTTTGACAGCGTCATCAGATCCCTAGCTAAACCCTGCTATGTCCAAATACAGAATAGCAACACAGCATGCTGGCTGCTCTCTGCATGGCTAGAATTACTAGTGTTTAGAAAGTTTAATGTTGAAATCATACAGGTCTCACTACAAATTCTACTGCTTCAACAAAGCCAGTGAGCGTAACTTACAATTGCGATAAGAACACTGCTCCCTCATGTAATAATAAACTCATTCTACATTTCTAAAATTTAATTCTAAAAATGACTACAATTGCACAACACATAAATAAATATATTTTCATCTTCTGGAGGCTGCTGGAAGTATAATGAACTGCATACACCAGAACATAAACTTCGTTGAACTCTGCCATCCTGAGATTCATGTACTCAGACACTGTCTGATCCCACTTCAGTCACAGATAGGCTTATGAGGACCACCATTTTGTTCCTTCTAGTGATTTTCACATAGAGCTAGAGCAAATATTTGCCCATGTACAAGATTATTTTATTGGTCATAAGCACTGTTCTGAAATGTGTTAAATCACCACAATAATTTCAAAGCTACTTTATGTTTACATGTTCACAGACGGTATTTTTGGATATATAAAACTTCTGTAAACATTTGATAGTAAACAAAGACAGAAAGCTCTAGCATGAGTAACATCAAAAGAAAAGCACCTACACTTTTCCCTCCAGGCTGAGAAAAAGTACTACACAGTAAAAGGAGATTGTTATTACATAACATATATTTGCACTGCTATTAATGACACTTCCATTTACCAGTTCTCTCTGCTGACTTTTGTCAAAAGGGAAGTCCCAACTCTGCAGACACTTCTGTGTAAGTATTAGTATTATGTGTGGGCTTGGTATTTTTTAATTGCAACTACCCTCTCAGATTACAAACTCGGAACAGATACTTATTAATACTGGATTCATGTAGGTAGCTAAGATGCTGAAAGATGCTAAACAGTGGCCAAATCTGATCATTCAAAGAGGTTGAAAAATGACAGTGTAATACTGATTATCATTTTATCTTTCCTCTTAATGGTGTATGACCAGTGATGCAAAGGCAGGACTCAGCAGAGTCCAGGCTCACATGCAAGGACAGGAATGGCGACGGAGACCTCTGGTGGGAAGAAGGAGAGAAGCAATCTGGAAGTACAAAAGTCACCAGCTATTTCTCTGGAGGTGCTTGTTTTCTGAAGCAGCTCTTCCATCTGTAAACTTTACACTCATACATACACAGACAAAAAATAATCAGTAAATGGTCCATGTCACTTGCTTGATTTTGTTTGATATGACTAGCTGCTCTAAAACATCTCGGGAGCGATCTACAAAAGAAAAAACGAATTTCTTGTTATTCATTCAGAAAATATATTGATGCTTCGATCACAATTACACTTGATGTATAGCAGTAGTAATTTCAAACCATTCTGCTTTCTCCACCCAAGTAACTGTAAAGCATCACCAAACAGCCAAACATAAAAAATGTAGATAGGTATTGGGAGAGTAAAGTCTCTTTTTTCCTTTTAGAATTTAATGAATACACTCAAGTGTGATTAACTTCTGTGTCCTGTTTTTCTGCTGCGCTACATTTAGTAGGTTTCATAGATGCAATACATCTTTCAGAGGGTTAAAGTAGAGTAAACTTCAGTTAGCTAGACAGCAAAACCACACAAGACAGCAAAGAAAGCATTTCTTATTCATATCTGCTGAAGTGGCTTACTCTTTGTAAAAGTTTCAATAAATACACAACTGTTGCATTAATGTAAATTAAAATTTAAAACCAACCATTTCAATCACATAAGACTCAGGAAAAGAAAAACTATGGTTCTTATTTCAACTTTCTTGAGCATATTTAACAGTGTGTAATGCCAATAGCTTAATCTTTTTATGACTTCATAGGACTTTGTTCTAGATTGTTTTGATACGAAAGTCAAAAATGTAGTTTCATATAGAGTATTTATCAATCTATGATGTCTGTTGTCAGACAAGAAAGAATGGGAAAGTATGTAACATATTTGGAAAACCAAGGATGGAAGAGAGAGCAGCCAGGAACCTTCAGAAAAAGCCGTTCTGTACCTGGATCTGCAACTGATCAGTCTTTCCTAATAGCGCTGTAATGACACTATGTTAGTGACAAAAATGTGAGCACAGTCTAAGATAATAGTAAAGATATATTAGGTTGTAATTTTTAAATATGGTAAAATATTTTCCTGAAATCTTCTCATCCACTTTGGGACTGCATCACCATGCCGAGAGGAAAAGAACAGCAACAGGAAAACTCCCTCTCTGGAGGCTGCCAGGTTTCAAAGCAAAACTCTCATTTTGCTTTGAAAACTTCAGTGTGCATTTACTATGTTGTCTAGCAAGTTATCAGATGTATTGCATAATTTGCAAAGCATAGTATGATTTCCCAGAGAATATACTGTTAGGAAGTCATTACTCTTCCCACTCCCTGCGTGATTTGACCCACCTGTTATTAGTGGACATCCATGGAAGAGAAAAATGTGTATCTTTGGACAACAAGTCAGGACTGCTTCCACAGCAACATCAGTCAGATTTACACAGCGCTCCATGTGGATCTCCTATTATGAAGACAGTTTAAAAAAAAAAAAAACAACAAAAAAAACACTATCAGAGAACCCTTAGTTTTGGAGGTAGAGCTTTCATCTGCCCAAATATCTTCTGAGATCCCCACCCAGAAGAAGTTATGACCTCCTGTTCCTCAGTGCATTGACCCCTTATATGGTCCTGTAGAGACCAGGAAATGCTCAGGAAAATTATGACAGCTTTTCTATCAAGTATCAAAACTAAAAACAGAAAGCTGATTTTTCTCCACATATATATCTCAATATTTGTCAAATGTATATATCATTCAAGAGAACTGAAAAAACTCTTCAATGAGATTCTACAGAGTTAGAGATCCATTAGTTTTCCTATGACGCACATTCTCCTGCCAATTTGCTGCCCAGGAGAACAGATTCCAGACTGATTTCTGAGTTTTCCCAGAATAGGCACAATTCAGTCTCCACTGGAAAAAGTTCTATACAGTAAAAAGTTCCTAAAAGTGCTTCTTCTAAGGCTAGACACTCATTCCCTTTGTTATCATTCTCTCTCCTTTGAGAGAAAGTTTTCTTCCAGCATCACATTTGCAGCAATCACTCTTTGGCAGTCTCCGTATCTGAAGTCATCCTCCTTTGTGGTAGTATTTACCCGTATGGCTTTAACAGGTTATTATCATTTTCTTGGTCTTGTTAAAATGGTTGTTCTTTAGACTACCTTATAGATTCATAAAGACAACATTCAAGAAGAAATGCAAAAAAAGGAATATCAGAGATAATATTCTTTGTTAAGTCTATCACCCTCTGTATCATGTCTATCCTAAAGGACTTTTAAAAATGTCATCGAGCAGGTACATCCCAGTCTTACATACAGGGAAGTTTTGTCAAGAGACAAAATGGCATGACTGATTTCAGAAGAACTAACAGAAAATTTCAAAGCCAGCATTATGGAATTGTATCATTATATAATAAGGGACAAGAAAGTGTATTTTTTGTACAAACACACTCGTAAGGGCTGTACAATTAGCCACTTTTTAAACAAAGCCTCATTTAAGTTAGAAATCAAAGGTAAAACAATTGATGCAAGAATCCTTAGGCTCTAGCAGATGTTAACAATTTTATTAGACAAACTGAGAGTTTTCACATTATTAGTTCTATTTATGATCTCACTTTATGTCTCGATAGTAAACGTGATAATCAGACACTTTTCATTTTAAAATACTTTCTCTTCCGAAGTTCTGCTATGGTTTTAAACTAAAAAATGGGAGATTTAGACTAGATGTTAGGAGGAAATTCTTTCCTATGAGGGTGGTGAAGCACTGGCACAGGCTGCCCAGAGAGGCTGTGGACGCCCCATCCCTGGAGGTGCTCAAGGCCAGGTTGGATGAGGCCCTGGGCAACCTGGGCTGGTGGGAGGTGTCCCTGCCCATGGCAGAGGAGTTGCAACTAGATGATATTTAAGGTCCCTTCCAACCCAAGCCACTCAATGATTGATTGTATAAAATCTTTTACCTTCTTTACCTCAGCATTGCTTCTCTTTGCCAATCTGCCAAGTTACAGATTTGTGGCAGTCCAGGGAATACTTCAGAATTTCTAGGAAAGGTGACTAAGATATGCCAAAGATAATCTAAGATAATGCCAAAAGGCTTTAAGTTTGCCATGCATCTGTTTTCTCCACTGGGAAGGTTTTAAGACCTTCATAGTCTGAGGGATTGTCTCATACTCTTTAGCTCTATTTTCTATCATGTCTTCTCTCTCTCCTCCCTTCTGCATGCATTAGAAGTATTTTCCCCATCCCTGGAGTTCCTAGAAGCTTCTGGACTTACTTGTGCCCACCACCGCAACCTTTTTTTAATACTTATAGATGAAGCAGGTCTTATATAAGCTACCTAAGTTATTCTTTTTCACAGAATCACAGAATTTCTAGGTTGGAAGAGACCTCAAGATCATCGAGTCCAACCTCTAACCTAACACTAACAGTCCCCACTAAACCATATCCCTAAGCTCTACATCTAAACGTCTTTTGAAGACTTCCAGGGATGGTGACTCCACCACCTCCCTGGGCAGCCCGTTCCAGTGCCTAACAACCCTTTCAGTAAAGAAATTCTTCCTAACATCCACAGGCATCCATGCACAGCACATCTGAAAGAAAACCTGTACGCTTTCAAAGAAATAGTAGCAACAGCAATATGAGCAGGAAATACCAGAGGCCACATTTCATAACTTGGCAATTTTAATGAAAAGTACAATGTGAACTGATTTTCTGTTGTTTGAAGAAAAAGGGCTTATACATAAGAATATAATTCTCTGTAAATTTTGGACAGTAGTAATACAGAAGCGAAGCGTTAAGGGAATACTGACAGAGCAATTGCACTAACGTTGTTAGAAAATAATTCAAAACTCTAAAAACACCACCAGTTAAAATAAGCAAACTACATTCAGTAGAAGATAACTCATCTTGAAAAGAAACTGTGGTTATCAAAAAACTGATCTGAGGCAGTGGTATCAAACAGACAGAAAATGAGTATTTAATTCATAATCAAAACCAGGGCAAGTGTGTACACAAAGGTAGAATTGAATAACAAACTTCCTTCAGAAGAAATAATAATAATAATAATGCTACTAATAGTAGAAATGCAAGTATTTGCTTTTTTAATTTCCTTTTTTGGTTAAATAGCTTACCTTTAAATTCTTTGAACACACTCCACTCACTAGTGCTATAACACCATCATCTGTTACCTAGAAAAAAGTTATTAACACAATGGATTAAAGCTCAATTTTTCAAACATGGCTATTTGGGAAACGTTTGTATATTAATTTATTCACTTCCTGCAGTCACTGGATACATCTAACATTACTATTTTCTTCCCAACTAAGTTTGCGGAGAAAATTATCCAAGTATGCCTTTTCTTGTCTATTAAGTACTCGCATTATACTGCCATGTGATCCACCCCAGCTTTTCTATTGGGATGTTTCCAACTGTGTAATTATTTTTTAGCTTCACTGGCTCATTTAACAGTGGGTGTACTACTATGGTCTGGCCATGACATTTTTATTTATAAGGCACTTCTGCTCTTCTGCTAGACCAATTTCCCTGCGGTTTTCATGACTGTTAGGAATGTTCTTGAAAGAAGTTCCTCCTTTAGGAAAACAAAAGTAATCACAGCAGCCTTTTATCTGCAGTCTTACTTTTACTCAACCTGAATTAAACCAGCTATTTAAGACAAAATTCCCCTCAAACAAGCAGTCTTAAAGCACTCATCATACGCGTGCACTGAAAGGCTTATTGAAATGATTGGCTACTGAAAGTCACAAAACGGTGATTACCTGCAAGAGAGAAGAGAAACACAACGGACTTTCTTTTCCTCAGAAAGAACAGTTTACATGTTCTCTTCCAAATTCATTAAACTTGCTCCCCATTTCCCACAAACCTTGTATTAGATGACTGGAATAACAGTCATCAAATATACATAGTGAGGCTCGGCCAAATTTGACAGCTAGAATCCAGAGAGCACGAGCTCCATTTCTGTTTAAGACTTCAGTACTTCCATTGCACAAATTGTCTCCCTGCCTACTGGCCACCTATTGCAATTCTGCTGTACAGAACTGTAATAGCAGGGGTCAAACCAGTGCAAGTGGAGAATGAACAGGAACATCCTAGTGTGAAGGTACAAAAAGGGCTGTAAGAATAGCAGGTATTGTCAGCAGCTTAGCAGGTCATCAAGGTGACAGCACATTTAGCTTCTCAAGACACCCACACCAGGACACAACGCACAGTAAATGAGTAAATTCTAATAAATCCCATATGTGGGACAGAATGGAGAGACTAATCCCTGTCATTTCTTAAAGGATATAAAATGGCACATCCAAAACCAGCACATCCTCACCAGCTTAAGAGCAACTTGAGTTAAGTGATGAAGCTTTGATAGCCTGTATCCCTTCTCCTCCACATCAAAACAAACCTTGACCACACTTAGTGGTTGGTGCCTGAACACTGGACAGACCATCTGAATGTTCTCTTGATGACTTTGAGTACATGGTTATGACAGCACGAGGGCATCAAACCACTTCTCATTAAAACAAAGTCCCCTTACTTGCCTGCAAGGGGAATTAAGCAGTGCTCTACTACTCCTGCGGTGTTGCAGTACTGTTTCCTACGTTATGACAGCATCTAGCTGAATTGTCTGTAATCCTATAACTGCCCATCCTCATCCCACACTGCGGATAAACCACTTACAGTTAGCATCAAGCCACAGATAAATCAGCTTCTTGGTATAGACCAGTTGTCACCAAAACTCCTGCACAACTAACAATGGCTTACATATTCAGGTAAAAGCAGTTAAGCATATAAGCAACCCAGTTGTATTCTATATGGGAAGTGTCTGGACAGGTAAAATAGCTAGCCAGCAACATTCCTGCTTTTGCCAACACATTTTGCAGAGAATTAAACAACCCTGCACAGAACTGTAGTTTGCACAGCCCCTTCAGGTTCTTTCTGCAATTGTTTGCCATATACTGAATCAATGAACATTACAAAGGAGATGTACTGCTTAATTAGTGCAGGGACTGGGACTTTTGAGCCTGTATTCCTACCTGTTAACGCTTCTGGGATTTAGAGCAGACTAGGAGTACAGTGGAAGGCACAAGGCTTGTGTAAAAACCCTAACTCCTCAGAATGGTAACAAGCACACTTACACACAAGCGCAAATGGATTCCTTATGCAGTCCCAGGCTAGAGTAGCAGAATTCTTCAGGGCAAGCTTCCATTTATACCTTGTTCATACGCAGGGGATACAGAGTTATACCTCCTCCTAAATTCAATCTTTCCCTTGCCTTTCCCACCCTATGTCTTGTTATTTTTGTACCAGTCCTTGTAACTTCTGCTTATTGTGTTTCATCTCTCTGCAGTCACCAGATGAGACTACTTTTAGGAATGGTTACACCACTCTGTGGCATTTAGCCCCTTTGTAGTCTAGCTTACATCTGTTTACTTGAGCTTGCAGTGAGCTGTGCCCTTCTTTGACTGCTCATTTACTTCCACCTTCCTCACTGCTTTACTTTTTCACGCAGGTTTGCCAGTTCCACTTATTTTTACTGTTCATTCTGGCACTCAAACACAAGAACATGGTGAGGTCTTGGAATCTCTACAGGCGTGAGTCACCCAGGTTCCCCCCCTCAGGCTGCTTATCTGTAACAAGCAGTATCACAGGGAAATATTTTAAGCTTACTTCATTGATATTTGTTTCACATATTTCAGTAAAATGAAATTCATAATTTTAGTGTTTTATCACCAGATCACCGATGATCAGAAAGGAACAAAAGATGCTGAAACATCTAGTTATCCAAGAACCTTTCATCTCAAGTAAAACATATACTGGGAAACTTCTCTATTTCATGTAAAGGAACTGAGGAGGTAGAAAAGGGAACAAAAGCCATCAAATAAGTTTGAAGAAAGAGTTAAATGATACTAATAAATATTACCAATGAACAGGAAAAAAAAGACTTTTGATGCCCTACCTCTGGAAAAACTTAAAGGAGAAGAATAGCGTCTAAAATATGAACCTGTTCCATATTTTCCAAATCTGACACTTCATTATGAATGCTCCGTGTATGACTCACGTTCAAGTAATCACTCACTACCACAGCCAACTGCACGCTACACTCCATTATCTCAACAATTCCTTTCATCCACTTCATTATCTGACTGTAACTATAAAGCCCATATTAGTATCACTGTTGCAGCTGATTCTCCCTTTCTCATGCTAAATACTAACTGCTGTTAAATCCTCTTATCTGTCCTTTCCAAAATTTTTAATGTCATTCTTTCCCTGTTGACTCCATAATGTAACTCTGACAAGCCATTAAGAAAGCAGAGTTGCTCCTGAGCCAGAACTAGTTATGGAGTCTTTACTCCTACTCTGGGGTTATATTGCTCAATATTCTACATTATTATTATTATTCAGGTCAGTTTGTCTTACCTAAAAGATGATGATAATTTTTCCAAGGTTTTACTTTCTTTTTAAGAAGTATTTAATAATTTGAAGACAATGATTGTAATAAATAAAGACACTGAAAAAAAGTCTCCAATATGCAGTGGATTCTAATAAACATACATATGGTTAGCTCACATTATATACTGTAAAACTGAAATGTTGTATTTTTCTGGTTACCAACATGCAAAATGCATCTATCTTTTTCTTTAAGAGGAAGAAAGTGGAAACAAACGGTGGTCTTAAACCTTCTTAGGAATAGATCTAAAAAGATCCTGTTTCAAGTTTACCAAAAATAAATAAATAAATAAACAAACAAAAGTTAACCAGCCAACTGCCCCCATAGTTACCTGAGTAGATGAGAAGTCCACACTGTGAAGAAACTTGCAGTTTTCTCCTAGTGCCTGCAGAGAAGCATCCATGATGCCTGAGCAGCTGCCCAAATTCACTATTTGTAAGAACTGGCAGTTGAGTGCAAGAGCGAGAACTCCACTGTCAGTTATGTCGCAGCACCTTTTGAAAGACGCTTCACGCAAATAGGGACAGGATAAGGCCAGGGCTATGATACCTATCAAAGGAACAGCAATTTAAAGAATTAGTCTTTTTAAATTTATTTATTTTTTTAGCATAATCACCTTGCTGAAATCAATGTACTGTCCTCTGGTCACTGACTGCTCAACTTTCATCTCATGCCATGCCAGCAAGATTCCGTACGAGGAGAAAAAAAATAATACAAAACACGAGTGGAGACCTGCTAAGTGGCACTGCAGAAGAATGCCAAAGCTGATGGAGATTTCTAAATGCTGAATTCCCTTGCATAGTGCAGAGGGATGCCTAAGGGATGTTATATACAGGCAAAATCATTACAGTGAGCACATGAAAAAAAAAAAAGCCAAAGGTTTGAGATGCCTCTGGAAATGATGTTGCAGTTGCATCATAGTTTTGATGATACGGCAGGTCTTTCGAAGAACAACATCCCTGCATACAACTGAAGTATTTCAGTCACCTGGTCGGTATGGTTCCACAGGCAGTAGGTCCAACATGATGAATGGAAGCATGTGATCATAAAGGCAAGTCACAGAAAAGCTAGAAGATAGGGAAAAAATCAAGTTAAAGAACGTTATGCTGTGCTGGAAAATGAGAACATGAAGCTTGCAGAAACAGGAGATGGAGTAGCATGTTGGGACAGCTAGGATGGTGGTGGAGTAAACTGCTTCAGAAGAGAAAGGAGACAATAGGATGAGTTGAGATTAGGGAAACTGAGGAAGAACAAGAAAGGAGAATAAACTGTAAAAAAAAAAAAAGGATAATTTTATAGATGAAGCAGGAAGAAAGGATAGATATTTTTGGACTTTTTCTGAAATATTTTGGCAGGTCTATGTGCATGGAAAGTCCTTGCTAAGAGGTACTAAAAATATGGCATATGGCCACGAGAGCAAATCCAGAACACGATATGATATACAGTCTGTAACCAGGTAAGAAACTAAGATGCAGAGAAGAAAACAACTAAGATGCTAAGAAGAAAACAACTCTTACAGGTAGGAGGGAAAAACTCACTGGTCAAGCTGGGATGGACATAACTACTAAATCCTTACTGGGAAAAATCACAGACAACTACGCCAGACTGGTGGCAGACACAGAAAGGTGCACAGACTCAGGGGAATTGAGGAGATACTCTGCTGGCTCCTGAAGGACTCTACTTGCTGCAAGGTCTGGACGCTGGGACACGTTCATCAGTAAAGTGCTTTAACTTAAACGGAATCTGCTTGAATAACTGGGGGCGCTGCATCAGTCAAAAAAAAAACAAACAGAACTGTGCACTGTAGAGTGATTGCCCCACAGGACACAGCCTCACAGCACCTGAGCTGAGTGAGCAGAGCAGACCGATGGTAGTACTTAGTCCCACTGACAGTCCAGCAAGCATTAGGCAGAAAAAGCAAGGTAACAGGTCATGTCCAAGGCGATTTTAAGAAATCCAAACAATAGTTCAGAAGCAGGACAGGAACCATGTACACCTATGGCAGAACTCTGGCCAGGACTGAGGGCCCATGGGCAGCTGGTTGTTGCAGCTGAGACTAGTCATCGCCACTAAGGTCTGTTGGTGCCCTCAGGAGCCTGAGGGCTGGAAACAAACAGAACATTTACACAGAAGTGTCAGGAGATAGCCAACAAAATAAAAATACATGAACTACAGATGCAATTCATGAAAGGAATTTATTTCAGAGATCACGGAAACATGATGATTCCAGCTCTACAAAAAAATTACCTAATTTCTGGACAGAAATTAAAGTTGAACACGATTAAGATATTTTACTGCATAAGAACTTCAAAAAAAGGCGGATGAAATAGTATTTGAGTCAGAATTACTTTGCAGAGCATGGTAGAAAAGATAGTAAGGGGAGATGAATTTAGATAGAGAAACAAGAACTACTGGATACTGTATTAAAAGACACATGCTCCACATGCAGCCTACAGAGCAAATGTTTCCTAGCAACAATAGTGCTCAGATATTCATGGATGTGGTAGACAGGTTTCTTAAGAAAAAAAAAGTTACCAAATTATTAAGAGGTAACACTTATTTAAACTGTTTGCCTGCATATTTGAATAAGAATTGTTTCAGCTTAAATTAAAAGCTTTGTAACTCTAATTTGCAGTTTAAAAAGAGCTCAGTTTGTAAGCAGGAAAGTTGGTAAAGTTGAATGGACTAGAAACTTGTGAATGAAGAACTAGTCTTCCCAGTTTTATTTACAAAGTAATCAGGAATCTCCAAATAGAGGAAAAACACACACAAAAAGCTCTATGTTTAGCTGGTATGTTAAGAAATTTACTAGGTAGCAGTGGACAAATGAAAGCATGGTTGAAAGACCATCACAAACTGTATCTTTGTGGTCAAAAAGCATAACAATGAGGTGACATTAAATTCAGTCAACAAAATTACCTAAAAAAAGTTTAACCTAATATTTAAGTAGAAGATAAGCGTATCAGTACGCAGTGCTAAGAAAATACAGACAAGGCTGATCTAAAGCAAGGAAAATATTAACTTAAAAATAAATTAATACTTTGTTTCTACTTTCAATAAGGTTGTGTTAATGATGGAACGAAGGAATTAGTATAATGAAAAGATAGAACTAACCTTGTGGGAAATAAAACTCAAACTGTATTCTTTCAAGCCAATAGCTCCTGACACAACTTCAGACTGAAATCCCAAATCTTAAAGCAAGTTAAGTCTTTCAAGTCAGGGGAGACGCTGTAAGCTTGCTTACTAAAGAACAAATATATTTAATTAACATAGGGGAAAAAAGTAATCTAGGGATTCACAAGTCTGAAACTTCAACCCCAGTGGTACTGGAAGGGCTCTGAACAAATTTTGAGGAAGGAATAATTAAGATGAAGCGGCAAATATGATCCAAAGCACCATAGTTTTTATCAGAAAACTAGAGTTGCAGTAACCTGATAGCTCTCTTTTGTAAAATAATCTGTGCTCGAGGCCTATAATTTACACAGTTGAAGGTACTTTTAATTAGTATTGGTGTGACATTGGGGAGTTCTTAAAGCAATATTTACCCTAGATGTTTCTGCAATTTTCTCCAATCTAACAAGAAAAATATAACAGGAACAGGATCCCACTGGCAGAGATAACATACCTTCTGAAGTGATTCCCAATCTGTTTTCTTTGCAAGAATTTAAGTTGATTTTTTTCAATTGCTTGCAGTTATAAAGCTGCAACAATGCATTATCTGAAATATCACAGTCTCGGAGGTCTAGGGACTCCACAGCAGGATGCAGTACCTGGAACAGAAACCTACCATTTCAGTCAAATTCTGCTGTGTCATACACCTTGCATGTTTTAAAGCTGAAATAGCTGTACTGTTAGACATCACACATAACTCTTAAAATACTCACTAGAGCATGAGGTTACCAGTCCTGACAACTAAATCTCTAGAGAAAATATGCTACATTTGCCACAACAGTATGAATGTTCAGCTTGTGATCACATCTAGAGTAGGAACCCATTAACACAACTACTTAAGCAGTGTAAGTACTATTCTGATGGTACAGTTGTTAACACTGGTACTTCAGCCAGCACAGATATGTTTACTAAGGATAATATCCTCAGACTTACTAGCACAACTCTGATGGCAGAAAACTGAAGTGTAAACACTGATTGCAATCAAATCTTAAATCTGCTTAAGAGATAAGTTTATTTTACCCCAGAGTATTTTTCCAAAGCTATTTTACCCCAGAGTATTTTTCTCAACTACACACAAACTCTTATATACAACCAAACTCATTATGATACCATGAGGATGTTTCAAATACTCATAAAACAGGCTCTTTTAAACCCCACAATACCACAGGTCTTCTTCTCTTCCCCAAAAGTACATTTATAGAGCTTACACCTGAAGTGATGGAAGCCTTCAGATTTTAGTAATAGCCACATATCTTACCTTTAATTTCAGTTTTGAGGATTCTCACTATTTTTTATTACATAATATTAATAGCCCCCCCTTTCCATGCCATGTGTCACTGTGCAAACAGTCTGTATCTTTTCTGACCAAAAGGTAAATGTTAGGTCAAGTTTTGACATCACCTTGTGTTACTCCCTTCAGCTTGTCATTCCCTTCCTTATCTCACAAAGATAAAAGCATATGGTAAATCTCCATATGCAATGAAAGGTAAGAGCACAGCTGACCAGCTTGCTAAAGGCCTACTCTTCACCATTCTTAACAGATACTACCAAGATATAAGGAATACTGTTCTTCTGTTGTGCAAATATACAAGATGCTGAAGTCAAGCAAGCCTGCTGAAAAAAGCGAAAAACTTTCAGTACACTGTAATTGCAAAATGAAAGGCAGACATAAGGGAAGGTTGACAACTTGTTTCCTCAAATGCCAGAAGCCCCAAACATGTCTCTTTATGCCATAAAACCTCCCACATATCCCATAATAGGCTTCTGAGTAGTTTTCACAAGAGTAACAATTCCTATCTCATTCATTTTTCTGGATTTGTATTTAATGAATAAATACAGCCAAAGCCAGAAAAGACATGCTTGAATCCTAAGTGATCACAAAAATTTATTCAAGGTACTTTCCCTGACTGTTGGCTTTCTTTCACAGTTCCAAATTGCCTAAGACACAGTAAAAGTGAGAAAACCACTGGTTCTCATGTGAGAAATCTTGTAAGAGATTAAGACTGCAAAAGGGCAAAAAGAACCATTAGATCAATTCTAAATTCTAAATGAAAAGCAACATTACTCTAACACTGTCTTTTTAGAGTATGAGTTTCCCTATGCAATGATTTTTCACATGTTCAGTTATTACCTAAAGGTTTGCTTACTTTTGTTATGCACAGATTCATATTCATTGAACACATATACTAAAATCTAATTTGTCCCAGGGAGGTGGAATTAAGATAGAGTTAAGGATTGCTTTGATGCACAGAAGATTAAAGTACAGATATTTCTCGTGGACAAATGCTGAAGTGCTTTATGTATCTTTACGGTAAAACTGAGCTGTAATAAGGAGTTTAAGCATACATGCCATGGAGAGCTGCTTCAAGCAAAAAGCGGAGTGAAGAAAAAAAAGATGATAGAACCAAACTACACAAGAGCAGCAAGGTAAGAGATGAACAGAACCTTATAAATAAGTGCAGGCGAACAGAATTTCAACTGCAAGAAGTTTAAACCTTAAATAAAATGCTGGACAACACAAAAGAAAAGATGCATGTAAAGGAAATGAGACAACATAGCTTGGAAAAATCCAAGAGAACAGATCTATCCATAATACTGTGGAAATTATAAAACAAAAGTGCAGGAGGGAAGCAGTAGCAGAAACAGAACATTCCTTATCCATATGGAGGCCAAATTGTGATGTTGCAAATGTACAGAACATGAAATGCCTAGGTTATGTATGATGCAAGCAAGGAACAGTAAGAGCTAAACATAGGGTGGTTTTGCTACACTGAACAAGAACAATATCTGCAAGATGAAAGAACAGGAAAGCTGAAGAACAAAACGGTGTGGAGAAACAGTAGGAATTCAGAATCATAAAGGTGGCTAGCATTTAAAGAAGAGTCCAAATGAGAAAAATAAACCTGGAAACTGTTAGGAAAGAACGCTAGTATATACCGTGTTCAAGAAAAGTTATTACAGGTAAGGAGAGGAGAGAATTGCAGGAAACTGAAGGAACAGAGAAAGGAAAAGCATATGAGAAAAAGAACCAAAATAGAATATCCAAGTAGCAGATGGAAAATAGGGTTCCTACAGAAGGCAGTGATCAACAGCTAAATGAAGACAAAGACAGATGAGATTTTGCAAAGAGCCAGACAAAAAAAAAAAAAAAAGTAACTTAAGATATCCTCAGTCTGGGAAATAACTGGATAGTTTAACTTTTTTTGTGTATGTATACACAGTCATATGGTTATAATTATACGCATATCTTAGGATGCTTAGAAAGGAAAACTTTCTGAAAACATAGCCAAAATCAAGTTTTGTCAACACAAACTTGACAAAATATGATAAAGAATGCAATGACTCTGTTGAAGCACTTGTTCTTTTTTTTTCCCCCCAATTAAAAATGGTGCATCTTAAAGATACAATGTTTTGTTGCAAGTTTTCCCACACTACTTAAGATTCTGTCCAATCTCGGTTTCACTATTGTGACTCTGAGAAACTGATACTGTTTGCTGCTTACAGGTTATGGGTAAATGCAGGAATGAATGGGGAGTTGTTCATTTCCTTTTTCACCAAGGTCAACCTTCAGCTCGCCTCATTTCTCACAACTCCCTACGAAACTAAACAAGATAACAAGACAGATACCACAACAGATGTGTCCCTCAATTTACAGCTGAAGAAAAGTCATTAACTAGTTTCATTTTGAAACACTGACAGACATCAGTGAGCAAAAGGAATGAGAGAATGTGAACCATTTATTTCTAGCCCTAGCATAATTTTATTTCAAAGAATCAAGATTTAAATAAATTATATTGAGATCATGTGCTTAATGTCAAGAACACAGCAGAACCCTAACAACTTCCTGAAATCCTTTAATTATAAAATTATGCACTGGCTTTTTGAAACATACTATTCTCAATAACAGACTGGTTTACAACAGTCTAGTTTCTAGTACTGAATAGGGGTGATGTAAGTTAGCTGGTTACACAGTAGTCAGTTATTTCTGACTGGAGGGTGGGAGAACGTTTCGCGTTGACTTGTCACTAAAATCATTATTTCTAATACAGAACTATGAGCATTACAGGGTGTAGGAAAAAGAAACAGAAAAGGTGAAGATACAGACAGCATAAGCAGCCCTGAATTTATCCACTGTCTCACATAAAGAATTGTATTTCGTTCATCCTCATGTATGTACTACCACAGACTATAGTTCTGAATGGATTCTTACCTCGCTGATATTTGAATCCGTTATTTGCCCTTGCATGCTCATTAATTTAATTAGTTTATCTTTTATGTTGGGTGGCAACGGCTTGATATCTGCAATGTATCTGGAAACGTTCTTTGTCAAACACTGAATGCATCTGAAATAAAGGAAAGACACAGTACAGTCAGACAAGGCATTATATATTATAGCAATCAAGCCTTAAGACGTTGAATTTTGCATCCAACTGTGCTGCTTCCAAACCTTATCAGGTCGAGCTGTTCCCTGCTACCACCAACTCAGTTATTGCCCTTTTGGGTCAAGCAGCTCATCCTTCCACCCAAGTGCTCCGCTCCCAGACAACTGCAGGCAAAATTCAGCCTCATTTGCTTCCCTCACCAACACGGCTCACCAAAACGAGTTTGCTGGTAGCACATTTGTGAGCCCTAAGAAAAGCCCTTTCACCAGGTGAACCTCCAGAGAGGGGGCAATAAAAGCTTTAGTTCATAGAGCTACTTCCAGGGAAGGGACATCTTTCACCTCAGTTACAAAAGCAAAGCTTAAGGAGATTACATTCTCAACTGTAATATTTTGTTCACCCTAGTTCACAGTAATCTCTTAACATGAATGGTGCTGTGTAGCCCAATGCTTAACCCTTCTAACCTTCTGCTTAAAACTAAATCTGACAGCAGAGGACTGGAAACTGTCACCTGAGGCATGCATTTCTGAGTCTTGGTAGGGGCCAGAAAGTTACAAATCAACGAGCCTGTGGTCTACAAAGTGGATTAGTCAGATAAAAACCTAGGAACAGCTGGCTGAAATCCTATTGCAATCAGAGACACTGGTTGGTTTGACTCAGTACGGCCTCTTTGTTTTAGGCCTCCTTCCCCCTCCTCCAATCTGCTTATTCTTCAGAATGATTTATCAACATGAAGAAAACAGCCTATCGTGCTCACCAGGCTAGAGATTTTGAACAAAGAGTAACAATGCACACTCCTCCACCTGCACTTTCTGTACCCATGACATCCTGCTCTGCCTGCACTTCTCGTATTCAAGAGCCCAAACTGTTCCTCTGTTCCCAGCAATCTGGTCCCCTGGCCAGATACTGAAACTTACACAAAGTTTCCACCATGAGATACTGCTCCATCAGACATTGCAAACTAATCTCAAAGACACACAGGGCTGAAGCATTAACCTGAAACAGAAAGACTGAATATAAATACGTTTTAACTGACCTACTAGCACTGCAGAATGCTGGATAATGCTTTAAGATCCTGTTTGAAATCCCCTACTGCCCCTAGAACTTTATCCATGTGAATGCAAAAGGGATCGTTTCAGTCACTATACAATATTAAGAGACTCCATCTGGAACAGAGCTTTTTGGAGAAAACACGGAGAACTTCACTTAGGCGTAATAACAGAGCCCAGTATTATCCAGATATGCATGGAACAGCACCTATGTGGCACATCTGAAATAATGACTTTCAAGGTCCAATACACAGAGATGTAATCTCTTACACAACACTGAGTACTATAGAGGCACACCAATCACACAATCCTGTCTTTTTAAGACTCCTAAGGCACTGTAATGTATCATAGGATACATAAAATGGTAGTGTCCCAAGTTCTGGGACTGTCAAATGACAATCACAGACTCACTGAAACACCAGACACAATCCAGGGAAGAGCTTATGAATGCTTCTAAGCACTGACAACCATCACCACTTGCTTGTATGCTCCAAAACAACTGCTAGTCCTTAGAGAAGGAATCACAGCTCTCTGAAGGAAGAGTTTGTTTTCAAAACCAAAGTCCCTAGGTAAGTGAGGAACATAAGTTAGCATGAATCTAACCGACATCCAGAGAGAAAGGGAAAGGCAACATTTTGACTTCCAGGTAATGCCAAGACTTTAAAATGTGTTACAGCAGACCAAAATGAAAATTAAGGAAGGCCAGCACCCCACCATGCCCTGTTGCTTCAACACATTAGTACACATCAGCAATGGTGTGCTTTGAATTGACAGTTCTGTTATCTACTGATGACAGATACCTGAATTAAACTCCCTACCCTGACTCTTATTTCTAAATCCAATGCACATATTTTGAAAGGAAACATTACTGCCCTACGAACTGTTCTGCAATTGTAGAATGAGCACTTTCCTATTAACCCCCCCTTACTTGGAGCAATGTGGAGCAGCTCCTGTAACTGCACAGAAACTCTCTCAGCCTGGGCTTTGTCACCTGGGTGCATGCAGTAACAACAAAGATCGGTAAATAAATAGTATAACATATTCACCTGGTAGACAGACTGTTCCCAGTCTGAATTAAAAGAAAAAACAAAAAACATTGATCCCATTTTCCATGGGCAAGGAGAACTGAGCAGTGCATTACTCCTGCAACGACCCGATAAAAGGCGACTTGTGTACAAAGAGTCAAAAACGTATTTTTCCAAAAATGTCAAGGAGTGCAAAACAGAAAAGGTCCATGAACTTTAAACTTAACAGGGTAAATGTGTATTTCCAATATATAAAACAGAAATTCAATCTTTATAGCTAATTATTCTACAAACAGTTTAGCTTACATTAAGGTACACCTTATACTAAGTTATGTCATACGGAAAAGAATAGCAGAATTGATGACAGAAGTGGGATGCATCAGAAGAAACAAACCAGGAGAATGGACACTAAAATAGATGACAAAATAGACGCATCTGTCCTGCACTGTTTTGGATCAGGTAATTTATATTCATAGAGAGACCGTAAAGCGAGCTTTGTTCTGAAACTGAAGCTCTGCTTCTTCACTCAGTTTTCATTCACGCAGCTCTACCCATCTGCAACTGTTCTGATCCCTTCCTTCAGGCCATACCCTACAAAACCTCTGACAGGTTGGGCAGCGCACTAACCTGCCACAGGCTGGCCACCTGCTACTGACATCTGTTACACAGGAGCTATCTACAAACGATACAGGGAAACAGCCACATCTGAGCAGTACTTAACTTCATGTGCAGAGCACTTCTTTATCATGCAGTGACAATCTTAATTAAAACACCTTTAAATCTGTTGTTTGATCCGCATTGCTCTGAGGCTCGTTTTTGATTGTAGAAACTCTCTTGGTTCTGAGTTCATGTCTGGGCATTAACAAGTCATCTCTTAACACCTGCCAGGGCTCTGAGAGCCTTGTAACATCCTCCTAGAAGCATGAGAACCAGAGCTGCTATCTGCCCCAGCTGCCTTCACTTCTCCCATAAGCAGTGTTGCTGCCAGGCATCCTCCCTCCTTGCCAGGCCCTGAAACTCCTATGCTGTCAGTTTTCAGCCAAGCATAACCACATACACCAACCACAATTTTGGTTCACATCAATGTGCTGGCCTTTAGACTGCATCAGCTGGGAGCGCACGTGTTAGCCGGTCATTTCTCACCTTGGGAACAATAACTTCAAAAAACAGAAGCTACCCTAACTTGAGGGGCAAGAAAAAAGTTTCCAAGTATTTCCCCTATGATGCTGTTGTGCAAGTGAGCTCTGGAGTGCTAAATGCTCTTTTGGGGTGTGGGGAATAGCTAGCAGCAGGTACCAAGAATCAAAAGAAACACCTGGATGAATGCACTTTCAGGTTTGGAGATGTTAAGAATAATGTCCTTATTGAAGGGACCACCACACACAGGTCTGTTTCAGTTCTTCATTTCTGCTACTTAAAACAACAAGCTTAAGGGTTAGCCTAAGCAAGAAGCTTAAAGTGAAGATGGCCATCACCTGATCAGTGTAAAACACTAAACAATACACTAAAATTAATTACATTTTTAAAAACAAATCTGTGTATTAGTTTCAAGTACTGATCTTACTGGTATTATAGTTGTAATATTAATAGAGGAAATTGCTACAGCACTACTAATAAAGTAGCATAAAGAAAGGTTAGTATCCAGTCAGAAGTAGAAATTGTTAAGAGTATCAAGCTTCACAGTACCTGTAAAGAGAAATTACTAGGTCTAAGGTATAAAGCTAATCAAGAGAACATAAGCATGTAATGTAATACATTATACAAAGAATAAGGAACAAGAAAAGTGTGGTTGTTCAGGCTTTGAAAAAAGTAAGATAACTGATTTTTATCAGCAGATCAGCTACTATAACACATCACTCAAACAGAATGTGAAGTCCAAACAGCAGATGAAAAGTCTAACCCCAGCCCTCTTGTCCATCCAACCTTTAACTGCACCTTCCTCATGCTGACTCCAAAACCCGCAGTTGCACAGCAAGCTATTCAGCAACTGATCTGAACGAAAATCCGACTCAATGCGACATTCCTTTACTTATCAGCAGATACAATGAATAGCTGCTTGCTTCTTAGAAAATCTTATCAAAGCTCAAAAGACCACAGCAACTGTGAACCTCACCACTGATGTGGTCTGTGCACCATGCTGATCAATGTGAAGGGGCTTGTCTGACACTGCGACAGCAGCCAGTGCTCCCAGCACCTCATGGCTTGTAGGGTTACTATCTTGTCTTCTACTACTTTAAACAATAAGCCAGTTAACTAGCCTTGAGTGTCCACACCTACTGAGATCTCAAAAGAACCGGCACCTCCTTGGTGCAAAACAGCACCCTACCTTTGGCTAGGGTGAGTCAAGTAGCCTTTCTGAGCCTTTCTGCTGAGCTGTGTGTGCACCTACCATGTGAACAGCCCTTCTCTCGTGATGGCTGTCGACTGAGTTGCATGAAAGAATGGACAAGCAGTCCTTTGTCACAAAGTGCACATCTGGTGTGTGCTAAACACATACTTATCATACAACATGTACATTTTAGCCATAGAGTAAATGAACAATTTCTGGGAAGCTAGATTCATCCAGATGGAAGCACATTGTGACCGTATATTGTAGCACATAGAAATGATTGCATCTAAAAACAAAATGCAGGCTTAATTTTTGTGTCCCTTGTGCATATTAAGGGACTAACCCAGCTGCATTTGAATAGGGACCTGCAATTTTAGACTGACTACTTAGTTCAAATTTGCAGAAAATGCTCCAAAACCAATGCAGATATATGGAAATCGAGCTATGTCAAACCTCCAATTACTTTTAACTGTCTCTTGCCACTGAGTTTGAAGTTCAACTTGAGTGAAAAGCATATTAATCGCATTCTTATTTAAAAAAATGGCAGATGTTTTCAGTGCATTACCGATTTGAGACATAAATAATGAACCATTTACATTATGTTTTCACTATTATTGCACCCTGTATGATACCATAAAACATCTACTGGCTATACCAGGGCAATTATAATCTTATCTCCAGTGCCCTTAAAGAAGAATAAGTCTAACTATCATTTACTATTTGTTTCCTCTGTCAAACCAAGCATTTTAGCCCCATCCTTTCTCTAACTTCCTCCTAAACACCAAGGAGCCTGATGGAACAAAAACCCAAAGCAAACCACCGTGCGGGGGTCTCAGCAGAGCCAGCAAAGAGCAGGGGTGCTCTGCCAGCCCTCCACACACAGACTTGTGTAGGACCACCCTGCCTGTCACCTCTTCCTCACCTCCTGCCAGCCGCCTGTCACCCTCCCTGCCCACCTCCCAGCCCCCAGAGCCTTGCCAAGAGCCCTGTCACCCCTTTATCTCCACGCCCGCCCCGAGGGAGGGCAGCGGCCAGAGGACCGGCCCTAGTCCCGCCGGCCTCCCCCGGCACTCACAGGTCCAGGAGGAGCTGGACGTCCCCGCCGGCACCGTCCCAGCCGCCGCTGAGGCGGCTCATGGCGGCGGCGGGGCTCGGGGAGCGACAGCGGGGGGAACGGTGCCGAAATGGCGGCGGCTGCCTGGGGGAGGCGGGCATGATGGGAGATGTAGTCCCGCTGCGGGCGGCTCCCGTTCTCCACACGGAGCCGGCTGAGGGACTGTGAACACCCCCAAACAGCGAGGGGCGCGTTTAATTTTTAAGCACGCAGTGTTTTCCCCAGCCCACATGAAGTATGGGGGACCTTGGGTAGGTTAGAAGGCTTTGGGCGAGGTGCCACAGCTTTTGTAACCGCATTCTTTACAAACACTTTTCCCTCATTTTTACACTTGGTGAAGTCATGCCACTGAAACACAGCAACAGCATTCCTAATCCCCACTGACCTGCAGAATCCTTGTAGCTGCAGGTGATTCGCGGAAGAACTCTACAACTCAAAGCAAATGAGTTATAAATTAGGTATGTGGTTTATTTCGGTGCTAGGCCCATGTGGGATAGCTCCCAAAGGCACACACAATTCACTCAATCGCATTCTTTTATCCCCTAAATATTACATATGCATTAAGTTTCACAGCACATCTATGCATATTCATTTCCTTGCTCTGCCTAGCCCCACTTCATACACTAATTATCTTACCAGTCCTTCTGCGCTTGCATAGTACTTTCTGGTGGTCATCGGGATGAAGTAAGACATCTTCATCAGAGCTGAATTTTTCACCTCATCTCCTTGTGCATGCTCTCTGAGCCCTAGGTCACAGTCCAGAACATAAGGTTGGTTTGATCTGGTTCTTGGGGCCCCATGGGCTCCTGTTATCTCGAGGTCTTGCAACTTCGGCATCCCTCATCCTGTCCTTTTACAAACAGTCCCCCTTATCTCTGAGCCCTTGGTCACAGTGTGAACCATAACGTTAGTTTGATCTGGTTCTCGGGGTCTGAGGGGCTCCTGTTCCTTTGAGGCCTTGCAAGTTTGGCATTATTTCATGCTGTCTTCACACATACCTCATGTCTTCTGCAAGCGCAGCACAAGCAGAGTACATCACAAACATAACACACATCAAGCAATGAGTGTTGTCTACATATCCTTTCTTAATCAATCACCCTCTAATTTCTAATCCCATGTCTCACAGGTTTTTTTTCCCCTGCCTTATTACATTTCTGCCTGCATAGACAGGAAGCACATGAAACCATCAGAGCGAGCTCAAAGGGGCTGTTCTTGGTCCCCCCTGTAATACACAATAAATGTTTGTTCATTGTCTTCTGTATTAAAAACAAGGAGTTCCGTTTGAGGAGCGGGAGTTGCGAAAGCTCCCTGCTGAAGTAAGGAGCTGTACAATACTTGGCTAGACACTATGAAAATTCTTTTGCTTAATGTAACAAAAAAGAGAATGCCCTCCCCTTCTACTCCTTCTGCATCTCAGTTGCCTCTTTTGTTCAAACTTATAACACCCCCCGTAACAGTATGAGACACCTCCAAGGAGCAGAGAGGCCCTAGCTCCAGGGAGGCCACAGGAGTTGTTCAGCTTTAGCTGCTGTGAAGGAAGGGGTGTTCGTGTCAGGGAGCACAGGAGAGAGCTGCACCTCCTCCTGTGCCTGGCAGCTTGGAGGTCCAGCAAGGCACAACGTGGCTGCAGGTAAAAGCAGAATGTGATGTTTCTGAAGAGGACAAGGGGAAAAACATTTCATGAAGTGCACGTAGACTATGGCTTTTTATTCAGTTACCTCAAAACCTTTTATGGACTTAAGTTTTGTTGTTGTTGTTTTTAGGACAGTTGAATAAATACATTTTAGAATTTATTTCAGCCTTGAGGGCAGAAACTCCCAGGCCACAGGTACCAGCAGGCCTCCCATGTCATACCTTTTACATGGGAAATACAACATAACCATGGTAGGCTGCTGCTCAAGGAGCAAGGCTAAGAAGTCCAGCAGACTCATGGGCAGCAAGAGCTTTCAGGCACCATCTCTGACAATGCTAGTTTAAATCAGATTAAAAGCACCCCTGCCACTAGCTACTTGTTCCCAAACCAGTGCTCTCACTGTGTTACAACAAACTGCGTGCCTGTGATACCTAATGAGCAAATACCCTTGGTTTACAAACAGCTATTTTTCTTGGTCTTTTTCAAGAGATTCAGGTCACAGTTTGCTTTAATAAGGCTAACATCCTCAGGAGCTACTTCTGAAGCAGCTCATGGTCTACCAAGCTTCACAGAGCAGCACCGTATGTCAAACCGAAACTGGCACCAGGGTACCTCAGCAGTTACACATGCTGATCTTAACCAGATTCAACCACAGGCAGCTGCAGAAAGAGCTTCAGTCACATCAGACTAAACATGGTATTTTACCAGCACAATTTCCCACCAGGCTGTAATGTGATTCAAGAAGTGCTCAAGAACAAATTCTGCAAAGATGCTATTATTAAGTTGGGCCCCAGCCTGTATCAGTGCCTTTTTTTTTTTTTTTTTTTTTTTTTTTTACTTCTCGGGTGCAGCAGGCAGCACTTCCCTTTGCTGAACTTCATGAACTTCCACTTTGCCCATTCCTCCAGACTGTCAGCTGTCTTTACTCAGAGAGGTTAATCACTGTTCCCAGCTGCAGATCTGGAAGAAAGTGAGTATGCACTTTGACACATTGCCAGTCACTGTTGAAGATTTAAATGGTATGACCCTGGTATTAACCTCAAGGGACTGGCCTGCATCTTTTATTTGTGCTGCTGATTACAACCCTTATAACCTGACAGTTGGCTGTTTCTAGTGTACCTCACCACCTAATTATCCCAACATTCCCCCTTCATCTCAGGGACCTGGGAATCCTGAATGCAGGTCTTACCAGTAAAGACCAAGGTGAAAAAAGCACTGAGGACCTCAGCCTTCATATCTGTCTTGCAGTGTGAAGTGCTGGTTCTTTTGAATCTCAGGGCAAAAAGCACAGGATGTTTAAGAGAAAAAGTCTGTTAGGAGTTCTCAAGAGCTCTTACATATCCCTTCTACTGCTGGAAGTCATGCAAAGACACTGCATTAGATGGTCCTCTCTGGTAGACCCACAGCATTCAGTGCAGAACTGCATTTTGCGATAAGGTTCAATGACTTCACTGCTCTTCACATCTTACTAGTATTCTTTTGGATAAAGAGAGTTATCAGTCTTTTACTTACACAATACTCAGTGTTCTAGATGGTACACTGAAGTTTGCCAAGGGTGTTACGCTTTCACACATTCCATGGGATCAAGCTCTTACAAACAGTGCATACAGGTTGTGTTAAGAAACAGCACACACTGTCATCACACTATGTGCTGAGGTTATTTAGCAGTCACTCATGCTAAAATACAAGTGTCTACACACAAAACCTACAGTTGAACTCCACCTAGGTTTTGCCTGAAGTCATTCTTCATAATGCCTTGTGTTAACTCACTGAATACTTTTTCCTTCTGGTTTCCAGTCCCATTCAGGCTTGAGTCCACATTCTTTAGCTTTCCTTCTGTTGCCGATGTACTTGCAGAAGCCCTTCTCATTGCCCTCCACATCCTTCACAAGATCCAACTGAGCCCAATCCCTAGCCTAACCCTTCACACTCAACAGCACCTCTGTGATTTCTGGGCTACTTGTTCATGCTTCCTCCTCTTGTATGCTTCCTTTCATGTTTGACTATAGCCAGAAGCTCCTAGGTCATCCATACAAGCCCCTCTGCCACCTTTGTGAAATTCCCTGCATGTTCAGATAGACACTATCACAGAGGAGGTTGTCCTTGGAAAAAAAGGAAAAAGTTAACCAGCTTTCCTGTATCTCTTCTCTTTGGAATATCACATGGGATTCATCCAAGTAGACACATGAACAGGACAAAGACTGACCTCTTGAAGTCCAGAGCTATGACCCTGCTTTTCGCCTCATTTCCTCCTTTCATGATCCTGAACTCCACCTCATTACAACCACTGCCAAGGCTGCCCTGATCTATGCCTCCCAGTTCTATCAAGGATCAATTCCTCAGACTTATGTGACAAAAACTTGTCAGGGCACTACAGAACTACCCTGGATTGCTTGTGCCCTGCACCATTGTCCCCTGCAAGGTCATCGGGGGAGCTGAAGACTTCTGAGACTAGAGCATGCAAACATGGGGCTTCGAGGTGCCTGAAAATGTCATCTAGAACTCCATCCTAATAACACAAGCTGTAGTAGACACACACCAAACCATTACCAGTGTTGGTCTACCCACTAATCCTGAGCCATAAACTCTTATCAAACTGTCTGTGCCTACTCAGAACTCCACGCAGTCCCCACTACCCTCTCACATGAGAGAACTTGCCCTGCTTACCTTCCTAACCTGTCCTTAAAAAGCCTGTATCCATTCACTGTAATACTCCAATTAGATGAAATATCCCACCTTGTCTCCATTACTGGAGTGATACCGTAGCCCCACAGCGGTGCACAGGACTCTCATTGCTTCTGTTTGTTCCCCATGATGCATGCATTAAGTGTAAAGATGCTTCAGAGAGGCACCCAATCATTCTGATTTCCTACAAAGAGGTTAAGGCCTTCCCCTACAAACAAGGGTCAACAGGACAGCATTACATGCATGTATTTGGGCTAACACCACTTGAGCCCTGTTTTATTGATTAGACTCCCCTTGGTTCACATCAAACATCATTTGCTTGCTAATCTGATTTAGAATTTCTCACCTGATAGTCTTTTTTTCCACTATCATTCTTAGTTAAAAGCTCTTATGAGGTTGGCCATCTTGTTGGCTTCTTCCCCCCCAGCCTAAACTTGGCACAGTTGATCCCACGTCTGTCAAGCAGTATTCAGTCCTTAAAGAATATGCCACAATCACACAAACCATAACCCTGTTAATGACTAACAGAACTGAGTAAACATTACATGGACCCTTATGTCCTTAACCATCTTCTTAGAACCAAGTGTGTGACACTTCATACTTTCCAGGTTTCCTCTGGCAATACCATTGATGCCCCATTAAAAAAAAATCAGCATAGTGACAATAACCTGAGAGCCGTGAAAACTTACAGGCTCTCCATAATGTCTGAAGAGCAAGTTCTTTGCAAACAATAAAGGCAACAGGCCAGCAGATAAGCGTGTTCCCTATAGCAGAAGGGTCAC